CTGATAGGGCAAAAATCCAAGCACTACAAAGAACCATGCAACTCAACAAAAAGAAAACAGCCCAATTAAAAAATGGTCAAAAGAGCTAAACAGACATTTTTCCAAAGAAGATAGATGAAGCCCACACATTACTTGTCATTAGGGCAATACAAATCAAAAGCACAATGAGGTACCACCTCACACCTTTGAGAATGGCCAGTATCAAAAAGACCGAAAAAGCAAGTGTTGGCGAGGGTGTGGGGAAAAGGGAATTTTTTGCTCAAAATGTACACTGGGCCAGCCCCCTATGGAAAACAGCATGGACATATCTCAACATTTTAAAATCAGATCCACCTTAAGACCCAGCAATCCCACTCCTAAGTATCTAGCCAAAAGATTCAAAAACACTAATGTGAATGGATACATGTACTCCTCTGCTCATTGCAGCACTATTTACAATAGCAAAGTTATGGAAACAACCTGAGTACCCAACTACAGATGAGATAGATTAAGAAGAGGTATAAGTACACAATGGAATTTAAGTGATTAAAAAAAAAAAACGCACTCTTGCCATTTGGGAAAACATATATGAAACTGGAGAGGGGACTATACTAAGTGAAATAAGTCAGAAGGAAAAAGACAAATAACCAGATGATTTCACTCATGTGGAATACAGAAAAACAAACGAACAGAAAAACTAACCTAAACATATTCTAAAAATCTGACTGTAAAACTGAACTTATGGGAGGTTGGAGAGAAATAAGGCAGGGAGAGCAGCATGGAAGGGAGGGGATCCAGTGGAATATTGTGAAGGAATATGGGTGCTTTCGTGGAAATGGTGTGATAACATACATCTGAAGAGAGATGAACCTGTACCCCCAAATTACACACAATGTTGTAAACCACTATTAAAAATAAAATCCGGGCCTCCCTGGTGGCGCAGGCTGTTGAACGCAGCACTGTGAAGCTGTCTGCAGCCTCGGCAGTGCCAGTTTGATCCCCGCCAGCCACGGAGCAACCCACATGGCGCTGCAGACCTCTCCTGTCTCTCCCACTGCTCCCCTCAGCAGTGTATTTCAGTCAGTCTGCCTGTTCTGTTCCCCACCCTGTCTCTGGTGAATCCTCTCACCGCCCCCCCCACACCGCTGGTCTGTACCCCAGTTCTTGTATGCATGAATAAATAAATCTTTAAAAAAATGCATGGAATATATAGAAAAGCTATACTAAGAAACAAGATTGTAGGCTATAAGGTCAGCACACAAAAAACCATTTCCATATATTAGCAGTGAACATTTTGAAATGAGATTACTGAAACAGTAGCATTTATAGCTCCTTGGGTATAGGTCTAGCAATGCGTGTACGGAATCCATGGAAAAATACAAAATGCTGATCAAAGAAGGAAGACCTAACAATTGAAAGGCCATGTTCGTGACTGGAAAACAATATAGTTCAGATGTCAGTTTTCTTCAATTGATCTATAAATTTAATATAATTCCAGTCACAGGATCAGCAGAATTTTCTGTAGATATAGGCTGATTCTAAAATACATTTGGAAAGGCGAAGGAACTAAAATAACTGGAACAATTTTGTAAAAGAACAAAATTGGAGGACTCTACCCAATTAAGAATTATTATAAAGCTATGGTGTTCATGACTCTAGGCATACATTTGTGGAACAGAAGAGAGTCCAGAAATAGACCGAAACAAAAATGACTAGTTGATTTTTGACAAAAATGTGAATGCAGTTCAACAGAGAAAGGTATGTAGTGGGAAAAGGATAGTGTTCAACAAATGGTACTGAAACAATTATGGCCATCCACAAAAATGAAACCTAACTCATACAAAAATTCAAATTGAGTCATAATCTAAATGTAAATTATAAAGCTGTTGGAATTTTAGAAGAAAAAGAAAATATGTCTTAGACTTAGGCAAAAAGTTCTCAGGGGGCCTCCCTCACCAGGTAGGGGTTAAGTCTCAGCACTATTACCACTCTGGCCTGAGTTCAGTTCCCAGCCAGAGAGCTAACCAACCCACACAAGGCACAGCAGACCTCTCCTGTCTTACCCGCTGCTCCCTTTAGCAGTGTATTTCAGTAAATCCACCTGTTCTGTTCCCCACTGTCTCTGGTGAATCCTCTCACCTCTCCGCACCCCCCTCCGGCCTATACCTGAGCTCTTGTATGCATAAATAAATATTTAAAAAAATACATATGGGGCCTCCCTGGTGGCCCAAGGGGTTAGGACGTAACCTATGAAGCTATCCGCAGCCACTGCAGTATGAGTTCGATTCCCGGCCAGGGAGCAACCCACATGGCACAGCAGACCTCTCCTGACTCGCCCGCTGCTCTCCTCAGCAGTGTATTTCAGTCAATCCTCCTGTTCTATTCCCCACTCTGTCTCTGGTGAATCCTCTCACTACCCACCTCTCCTCGCCCCTCTGACCTGTACCCCAGTTCTTATATGCATAAATAAAAATCTTAAAAAAAAAGGATACATATGGCAAATATGCACATGAAAAGATGCTTGACATCATTTAGTCAATAGGTAAATACAAATTAAAACCACAATGAATATTAAGACATACCTATTACAGTGTGTCAGTATTAAAAAAAATACTGACCCTAACATGTATTAATGAGGTTGTGGAGCAACTGCCAAGTCTCACACTCATGTGGCTGACAGGTATAACTACTTAAGAAAACAGGGCCTCCCCGGTGGCGCAGCGGTTGAGCGTTGGGTTGCGAAGCTTCCCGCAGCCTCTGCGGCGCCGGTTCGATCCCCGGCTGCTCCCCGGCCACTGGAGGAGGGTCCCACATGGTGCGCAGACCTCTCCTGCCGCCCGCTGCTCCCCTCAGCAGTGTGCTTCGGTCCTTCTGCCTGCTCTGCTCCCCGCTCTGGCTCTGGTGAATTCTCTCACCCTCCCGCGCTTCTGACTGTACCCAGTGCATGTATAAACAAAACAAACAAACAAATAATAAATAAATAAAACATGCCTTTATAAAAAAAAAAAGAAAACAGACCATTTTTTTTTATAAAAAGTTAAACATACATTTTCCATATGACCCAGCAATACTACTGCTGACTATTGCAGAGAAATGAAAAATTATGTTTACACCAAAAACTGCGGGAAAGTTCTAGTATCTCTATTTGTACACACCAAAAATTGCAAGCAACCCAAACATTCTTCAGTGTGTGCATGAGTAAACTGTCCATCCCTACAGTGGAATACTGCTCAGCAATAAGGAACTATGGATATGGTTACCATATGGATACCAACATCCATGGACTGCAAAGGCTTGCTGAGTGAAAGCCAGTCTGAAGGCTACATCCTTTACAAATAAGTACAGCATACTGTATGATTCTATTTAGGTGACATGAGAGATGAGATGGTGAAGAGTGGTTCACCAGGGTTTAGGAATGGGGAGAGGGTGAGCTCAGAAGGGCAACATGGGGTTTTTTGGATGGCATGGTTGTCTATCCTATGGTTAGAGAAGTCAGTACGTCCCTTCAAACTGAACAGTAAGGTCAAGTTTACTGTATGCAGTTTTAATAAAATTTGAAAATACAGGATTTCATGATTAAAATATAGTCAGTATAGTTTTCCTGCTGTAAATATGAAAGTGAAGATGGTCATCTGATTAAGTGAGAAGACTGACTTTGTACCTTCACAAGAGTTAACAGTGGTGCTTGGTATTCAGGAGCATTTGACTCATTGCCTTTGCCGGTATGGCTATGCTCAGCAGGAGGAAGACAGAATCACTGAGATTAGTACTTGCTGAATTCTATGCTATTCCTCTTTTTCTTGGTATCTTTTTAAATTCTTCCCTGTGAAGACTGAAAATGTCTATGGACAAGTTTTCCCTCCATGCGTGTGTTTCTTATATCTTTCTGTGAAGTAGGATTTATCCTACTAGATAATTCAAGAGCTCCCAGGGGCCTCCCTGGTGGTGCAGCGGGTTGAGCGCTGAGCTGTGAAGCTGTCCACAGCCTCTGCAGCACAAGTTCGATTCCCAGCCAGCCAGGGAAAAACCCACATGGCGGCAGACCCCTCCTGCCTCGCCTGCTGCTCCCCTCAGCAGTGTCTTTGGTCAGTCTGCCTGTTCTGCTTCCCGCTCTGTCTCTGGTGAATTCTCTCACCCTCCCGCACTTCTGACTGTACCCAGTGCTTGTATGTATAAATAAATAAATAAATCTTAAAAAATATTTAAAAAAATGATTTTATTTATACATACAAGAGCTGGGGTGTAGGCCAGAGGTGTGGGGGGCGGTGAGAGGATTCAGGAGAGACAGACTGGAGAGCAGAACAGGTGGACTGACTGAAATACACTGCTGAGAGGAGCAGCGGGAGTGACAGGACAGGTCTGCTGCATCACGTGGGTTAGCTCACTGGCTGGGGATTGAACTCTTGTTGCAGTGGCTGCTGATAGTTTCATAGTGCTGAGACTTAACCCCTGGTACCACCAGGGAGGCCCTGAAGAACTCTTCTTTTTCTCTATGGCTAGTGAGAACTTCTCATCCTACCTGGAACTTTGTTGTCTTTCTGCCTGTGGACAAGCTGGGTTTGTTGGTCTTTACAATTCCCTGCACAGTGGTTCAGACTGCCAGCTGGGGTATATGGTAGTGAGAGGCTATGTTGGTTCTGCAGAACTGGCCTCAGGCCTTTCCTGAAGGGAAATAGTTCTGGGGACATGAAATTACGGGGATCTATAATAGACAGGAATGACTCCTGTCTGTTCTGCCTTGGAAGGTCTGTAATTCAGGGGATCAAATTTTGCTATATTGGTCTTTTTTTTCCTCTCCCAATCCAATGTAATATTGAAAATATAGAGAGCTAATGGCTATTTACCATACTTGAACAATAATTGTTAGCTTTTAAATATAGGAATTTGACAGAATATGAAAAGGTTCTTGGATGTGTAAGACTCAGTTTTACTTTCTAGTAGAGTTAATTTTGATACTGATATTCTGATTACACCTGTCATTATTAACAGTTTAAAAAAAGGTTTTCCTCCCCTTTTTGTAGGCTGTCATTATTTGTATCAAAAACAAAGAATTTGAAAAGGCTTCCAAAATTTTGAAAAAACATATGTCCAAGGACCCTACGACTCAGGTAAATTTGATAAATTTGATGGATGTTTGACTTGGTCCATCTCATTGCGTTTTGTGGGGAAATACAGAAAAGGTTCTTTGTCAGGAATGTTATCTAAATACTCATCTTTAATATTTAGCACCTTTGCCCTCTGCATGTTGTCTTTTATATGCAGGATAACTTCCTGTTAGATACCATGTCAGTCTGGTGTGTGACACAGTATTTATTTAAACGATCAGCACCAGGTATTAAACTAACAATTTATAACGTCTCTAACTTTATTTATGTAAATGTTGATCTTATATACTTGAGAATCTATTTTGGTGGGGACTTAACTCTTTTATTCTCTGGTATCAAAAGCTCAGTTGGTACCATGCTCTTATTTTTTTTAATAAATTGAAATTTTGGCTCTTGCAAAGTAATTCATATATGTATATAGTACAAAACTCAAAATGTACAACAAAAGAATTTAATAGAAATTCTCTTAATCATTGACTCAGCCATCTTGTTCCTCTCTTCAGAGGCAACCAGTATTTTTTGCTTATACTTTCAGAAATATCTATGCATATGCCAGCAAATGAGTGTGGATATGTATATATATACAGACATACACATATATTCATTTTTCCTATCTTCCCATACACCTATGTGAACATATTTCACACACTAATTTGAACATTTTGTAAATGGCTTTTTTCACAATATATTTTGGAGATTATGCTATATTAACACATAAGGAGCTGTTTTATCCTTTTTCAGAAATGTTTAAAAATCTTCATGTTAATGTATAAAGGTGCTTTAGATCCTAAGTTCATCTATATTTTTTTTTTTATAGCTTTATAGTAACCCACTGTGGCCGATCCATAATGAATTGATCTCTGTGGTGGGCTTCCATTCCCATTGGTGCCAGTGGTTTCCATTGAGAGAGTTGTGAAAGTTTTGATAGTGTTCTGTCTCAGTTCATCATGAATTTTTGCCAGAGCTCTCCTTTCTCATGTTGCAAATATCGGTCCTTTGTATAGAAGCTGAGGAATGATCTCTTGAACATTATCCGTGAAAAGAACTTGGCACATCCTGTTATCCAGAACTTTTCCTATGAGACCTTCCAACAGAAGATGCTGCGCTTCCTGGAGAGTCACCTGGATGATGCAGAACCCTACCTCCTCACGGTGGGCCTTGGCCTTCTCCTCCTGTAACCATGACATGTCATTGAAGGATGTGCAGGCAATTAGAAGAGGACTATTCTTTTTAGTAGTAAAAAGAGTAAATGTGTGGAAAAGACTTTGGATTATCTACACTATCTTCCTTAATTAATGCCTTAAATATGCAGAAGCAGAGCTCCTCATAGAAGCAAATAAGAATATACCTGGTCTCCCTCACCTCCCATTTTTAGCTCCTCTATGTATCTGTTGTGGTGGAACACTCACTTACAATAATGGGGGGTCCACAAAGGAGATGAAATTTAAGTTTGTGAGGAAGAGTGGTTTGGTAGAGATGGCATGATGAGGTTGTTAACAGGAAGAAGGCCTAACTGGAGCGAAGGTGTGACTAGAAGTATAAGGCAAAAGGGGCCAAAAGAAGGCATTCCTTAACTGGATCAAAAAGATAAGCATAAAGAATGGAAACAGTGAGGCTTAGGACAGTGTGTGAAAGAATTAGAATCCATTATGTCCTACAAGTTCCGTGTTAAGAGAAAACTGAATGCGATGGTACAGTTTTTATATAAAACTAAGATTTTGAGTGTTTAAAGTATCCTACCTTACAACAGGTCTGCCAGACCCCTATAACAGTGTCAATTATCATAGCACTCATTTGGCAAATTCCAAACTTTTTTTTTTTTTTTTAATAGAGGCATGTTTTATTTATTTATTTGTTTGTTTGTTTGTTTTGTTTATACATGCACTGGGTACAGTCAGAAGCGCGGGAGGGTGAGAGAATTCACCAGAGCCAGAGCGGGGAGCAGAGCAAAATTCCAAACTATTTTTAAAGCAGATTGTTTGGAATATTCAGGGAGTGTCAAGACAATGTGAGCCTGGCCTGGGATTCTTTTCTTTGTATTCCAAATAACTGGAAAATAACTCGCCCCTGTATCTGTGTAAAGATAGAGCTCTTAGCTCTTCAGATACCACTTACTACAGATACACATAGCTGAAACAAAATGATGGTGGACTGACTGGAAATGTATAAAACTCAGTCAGAGGAAGATATATGAAAAGTTGGAGTTAGAGCAAGATTGGCCTACTCAGGGTTTTATGTGGCATAAGTAAGGATTTTCAGAGAGTTGTTAATAAGACAAAACATTGTAGAAATAGAGTCATAAACAATTCTGTACACAAATTAAAAGACATATAGCTATCCCAAGTTTGAGGGGAAAAGTTTGACTTTTATCCATGATGCTAAAGGTACATTTGGGGTTCAGAAAACTAGATTAACAATGAGATTGAAAAGACAGATGAGGAGATATGGAGTGACATCATCATGTAATTATTTTTTGCACAAAGGTTAAAGAATTTTTGCAATATCAAGATGGTAACCACCACTCAGATTGAGATCTCCTTTAGAACAGATAACTGTGAGCTATTTTTTTTGAGGAAGGAGAGAAGGAAAAAATTTGAGAGAAATCTTGTTAGCTCTCTCCCTCTTTATGCTCCCCTCCCTGTATTTATTTCTAGATTGGATTTGTAAGTGAACATGTTTGCATATTGAGTATGTTCATGATGAGAGAAGAGAGGATCAGTGAGAATCTCTAGCTTCCTCTCTTCCTGATGACTGATTTCCTTTCCCAGATGGCTAAGAAGGCTTTGAAATCTGAATCTGCTGCCTCAGCTACAGCGAAGGAAGAGAAACAGCCAGCCCCAGAGCCTGTGGAAAAGCCAATCAGAGAACCTGCAAGGTGAGAGGGATGCCTTCTCATGATCACGGGTGAAATGCTGGGGAGGCCCCCTCGGAGCAGTCTCCTCCCAGAGTAGGATCAGTTCATTTCTTCTGATGGTATGACCTACTAAGGGGTCATGGGTTACTCACACAAGGCACCATGGAAATTATAGAACACTCCCTGGGAAAGTGAGGACATTGGAGATGGGATTTGGATCCCTGACAGAAATTCCTCAAAGGTTCTTTCCTTCTGTTTCTCTCTCCTTGCCTCACCTGTATCTACCTAGTACTTCCTTGTGGATACATCTCTTAATACATTCAAGAAACAGTATTCAGACTTGTGAATCAGATTCCCAAGACCGTCACAAGATGCTTTTGGGGTCTGGTAGGAAATACAAAGGAGCAAATTGGGTCTAGGATAACACAGTAGACCACCAGGGCTTGTGAACCGGAGAGGGCCGTGCTTCAGTAACTGCCGGTACATCACCATGTCCGAGGATACCCAAAAGTCAGTTCAGATTTTTGCATGAGACATTTCATTCTCAAATTTCTCTATTTTTATATGTTGTTAATCCAATTTAAGAAAACAAACCTGGGCCTCCCCGGTGGCGCAGCGGTTGAGCGTTGGGTTGCGAGGCTGCCCGTGGCCTCTGCGGTGCAGGGTCGATCCCCGGCTGCTCCCCGGCCACCGGAGGAGGGTCCCACATGGTGCGCAGACCTCTCCTGCCGCCCGCTGCTCCCCTCAGCAGTGTGCTTCGGTCCTTCTGCCTGCTCTGCTCCCTGCTCTGGCTCTGGTGAATTCTCTCACCCTCCCGCGCTTCTGACTGTACGCAGTGCATGTATAAACAAAACAAACAAACAAATAAATAGATAAATAAAACATGCCTCTATAAAAAAAAAAAAAAAAAAAAAAAAAAAAAAAAAGAAAACAAACCTGCAGCAGGACACATCTGCCAGCTGGGTTCAGCCTGCAGGCTGCTAGTTTGCCCTTTCTTAACAATTGTTTAGTTAAAAAAAAACCCAAAAAACACCGAAAACAATTGTTTAGTTAAGCACATGAGCTGTTCCAAATGACAGATGAACTTTATTTTTGAAAGGGCATTTTCTTACTGTTCAAACACTGTGTAGACCGTCTTACTCTGAGGAATTCTCAGGATCCCATGCATAACTTTACTGTAGGAAAAAAGGGCGGAATGTAGACAGTCTTTTATTTCTTTCACACGAATGTTAGCTGGGACACTGGAAGAAGGATCTCAGGGTGAGACTGCCAGGTTGTCAGTTGTTTCTTCAGATGGACTGGGAATTGTTGGGGACTATGCAGTGTGCTCTATAATGAAAGCATTACTTCAGTCCATACAGACAGTGAGGTAGCACATCACTCATAGAGTCTCTGGAGAGAGACCTTGGCCTTGTTCCTTTATGTTTCTCTTACTTGGAATTTAAACTCCATAATTTAACTGACATGTCATATTTAAAGCCCTTGCTTATATTCATTGGACGCTTTCATAAAGGTTGTATCAAACAGCTTCTAAAAGAAGAGTTCTCAACATGAAGAGTCCTCTAGTTTGAAGCTCCACACTTTGAAAAAGTGGTGGCTGTGTCAGCAGTGGTAAAATGGATCTTTGTTTGCTTTATTTGTAGGCAGTTAAGAAATACTCCAACCACCATTGGAATTATGACTCTGAAAGCAGCTTTCAAGACTCTGTCCAGTGCACAGGATTCTGAGGCAGCCTTCTCAAAACTGGACCAGAAAGACCTGGTACTGCCTAATCAAGTATCCCCACCATCACCAGCCCTCAAAAACAAGAGACCGAGAAAAGATGAAAATGAAAATTCAGCCTCTGCTGAGGGTGGCTCTGAACTGCAACCCAAGACCAAGCGCATGACAATAAGCAGATTGGTTTTGGAGGAGGACAGCCAGAGTACTGAGCCGAGCACAGGCCTCGACTCCTCCCAGGACGTCGTTCCACCATCACCATCCAAGCCCACTGTTCCCAACCAACCCCTCCCTGGGGAGAAGAATCCCAAGTATGAAGACCTCCTTTGTAGCAGTTTGGGGGCTGGTTGGTGGTCCTGGTTGGGCCTGGTATTGCTTCCATGAATGAAGTAACTTTCAGCTAAGTTATTCATCACCAAGGCTTGCTCAGACTGCTAGAATGTGACTCGGGAGTGGGAAGTGATGACATAGCCATCCCTGCCAGTTCTGAAGTCCCACCCCTGGGACTCCAGGGCATGAATGAGGATGGGAGGCTTACAGAGCCTCTTCCTCATCATCACTGCTTTCGTTATTAGCAACCTTCTGAGTGCCTTCGCTACTAAATATTAGTCTTGTTTGTTAAAAGGAATTTGTTTGAATTGAGTCACCTACTTTGATCCTTGAAGAGACTTGACTAATTTAGCTTTGCACCTTCTATGAGCATTTGAGACTTGGCAAACACAGTAAATATTTACTAATCGCCCACGTTCTGCTAGGTTCTGTGGGGGCAGTCATTAGAAAGCCCTCATTTTGCTCCCCATCATCACTGCAACCCGAGTTTCGAGTTTTGCTACCCTTTGTGCCCTGTGGTGGGTCCTTCCTCCAGACAAGCTGGCCTGTTCCCTCTCTCTGGAACCCCCTGTTTATTTCTACTACTGTCCTCTCGCTTTCTCTCATTGCCCACGGTTAACTATCATCCCTCCATCATTGCTTGTCAGAATCCCATCATCCTTCAAAGGGAAGAGAACCTGATGCTAAGTGTTTCTATGGGCCCAGCATGTCTGTCTATTATTTTACTGAATCTGCAATCCTCACTCTGTGATACAGTATTCCCATTTTATAGATGAGGAAAATTGAGAAGTTATTAACTTTCCTGAAGTGACACAGCTAAAAAGTGGCAAAGTTTGCTTTGGAATTTTTACTCCAAGTCATTCTTGACACAAAAATTGTGGCCTGTACCATATACACCAGGCTGCATCTTAAACGTTGCCTCCTCCATCGCTCCTGGTCACCTGCTGTTAAGTCATCACCTCACTGGTTTCCCAAGGCCACTGCCATCTACCACTGTTCTCTGTTGTAGTTGTTTGGGGACCCGTGCTCTGGCATGTATGCACTAGGTGCCCTGAGCTGCTGTGGCATCTGATAGGTGATTTACACTAAGGTACAAATTTGTACTGTGTGTATGACTGCTGTGTTTGAAAGTAAGTCTGGCAGATGGACATAGCTGAGGGGCAAGCAGATGCAGCTCCACACACTTATTCCCATTTGATAGATGATCTCATGCGCTCCTCACAGGCCTGTGGAGGGTAGGTCTACTTCCATGAACAGATGAGGAACTCAAGTGTGAGTGATTACAGTGGCTTTACAAAGGGGGCTGTATGAAGGTTTTAGACATACATAGCCTCCTCTCATCTGTCAAGGGTATGAAAGTTCGATGGGTACACTAAAGCAGAGATTGGCAAACTATGGCTCCTGGGCCAAATCTGCCTGCTGCCTGTATTGTAAATAAAGTTTTATGGAACACAGCCATACCCATCATTTACATATTGTCTGGCTGCTTTTGACGCTATTTTGAGTTTCAACAGATAGAGTAAGGCCTAAAAGCAGATGGTTACTATCTGGCCCTTTAAGGAAAAAGGGATCCTGTGAGCCTAGCTGTAAAGGGGGGGAGGGTGGGGTGCATGTGAGGTGTCCTGGCAGCTCTAGGAAAGAAGAGAGATGAGCCTGCTTGGCAGTTGGGGGTGGGGCACATCTTGCAGAGAAGCAGAGTCAGGCTGGTCTTGAAGGAGTAGGAGGTCATCAAACAGAGGGGGTGGAGGGTTCTGGGAAGCAGGAGCCCTTTGCATACAGGCATGAGGAAGGCATGTTCCAGAAAACTTCCTGTAGTCTATATGGAAGAGTGCATGAGAGGATGAGGGGAGAAAAAAATATGGCTGGGTTGATGGGCTGGATCTTGAGTTTCTGTTGTAATCTGTTAGGCAAAGATTCTCAAATTGGGGTTCATGTCAGTTACCTGTGGAACATTTTAAGAAATACACATTCTCGGGCTCCTGAATTAGAAGGGACGCAGGAATGCTCTATAAACTGCTTTTCTAATTATGCCCCCAGATAATTCTAACACAGCAACCTGAAGGCCTAATAAGACACCCTTAGGAATTGTGGCACCCAGGGAAAGGAGGGATGAGGGAGGCTGGAGACTGTTGCCACCTGAGCAGTCAGGGCCTGGGGGAAGCTGGGCAATGGAATCAAGAGGGAAAGGCAAGATTAGGGTAACTCATTTGGAGGACAGAGCCACAACTACTAGATTTTTATATCATCCATGATACTTGGCACAGAGGTGCTTACCAGATGTTTATTAGCCAAATAAAATAATAATTTTGGGTTCCTTCAATTAAATGGCCCATACCCCAAACTTCTATTAAAAAAAGGTCAGCAAATGGTTAATGTTTTGGACTTTGAGGGTTATTTATGTCTCTTTTTTTCTTACAACCCTTTAAAAATTTAAAAACCATTCTTCACAAGGACTGTACAAAGACCAGCACTGTAGGCTATAGTATGCCTACAGCTCTAGACCCTTCATTGCTCATCAAGTTCTAACTTCAATGAGAAGCGCAAGGACCAGGAAGTGAGCTGACTTGTCTGGGTGGCAGAGCCACCTGACAGTTAAGATGAAGACCCAGATCTCAGCCCCTTCCTCAACACGAAATTAGGAAGAACCAAAACATCTTGTGCATGCAATAAATGCTGAGTCTGCATAGGTTGTACACAGGAAGAAAGAACAATTCCTCAAAGTGATGCACTGGAGGGCCCACAGGTTAAGGTTTGTCCCAGAACTGGGATAAGCAGACAGAAAATATAAACTGTAACCCAGCGTGACTCTTAATGTATAAATATTAGCAACATATTCCTGAGAAGGAAAATTCTCATGTAATTTTTCCCCCCACTTTGTCTCAAGTAAATTTATTCTCAGAAGTAACATTTTGGGGACTAGGATTCGATTTTAAAACAAAAGAAGAGTAAGTAATCCACCAGTGTCTCAGCCTATAGCTAGGTAATTTTATATGGAACTTAAGGAATTTTCATGTGTATGCACTTAGTAAACAAATTGTTTTCCTTACTCATTTGCAAAAATACTCAGCCTTCAAACTAAATTTCTTAGGAGAGAAGGAAAAAGAGGTTTGTGTCTACTCTCTTGGTTAAGTTTTCTCGATTATTTTGAGGTAATTCTTCAAAATCACTTCAAATGCTTTCCATGTTTGTTTTGTAAAAGATGTTACAATACTGAGGTCAGAGTTGTGCTGTGCTCTGGTGCCAGAGCAGCTGTATTATTACTCAAGAAAACATAGTTAGAGTTAACTCAAAAAGATCAACTACATTTTTTTTGTTTTGGGACTTTTTGGGTTACACACAAGTACTTGACATCTTATGTTCACAGGAAGGATTCTTGTTTGCTTATTCTAATTTTTGATGGTATGACTCCTGTGCATTCCTTTGTAATCCCATTATTAGTTTAGTTGTATTTCTCCAGTTCCTGATAGGGTATGCGTTATGGTGCTAGCTGTTTGGGACAGACAAATGAAGATGTGGCCCTGCCTTCAAGCTCACGGTTAAGGGTGTGTTGTGAAAAGAGGAGCAGGAGCAATGTGTGTGTTGGGTGTCAGTAGTTAGGGCAGGCTCTGTGGAGAAAGATAGGCTTGAGAGAAAGGTAGGATTTCACTTGGCGAGGAAAGGAATCCCAAGCAGAGGGAACGTACCTAGAGAGGAAGCAAAGAACAGATTTTACAGGAGGGAGGAGGCGCAAAGGAGCATGGTTCTGTTAGTGTGGTGGGAAAAGAGGCACTGTCACAAGAAACTCATGCCAGATTGGATGATCTTGATTTTCCCCATGTATGCATTTAGGCTTCCTTGTTTAGGTAGTGAGACGCCATCACAAATAGGGGAGGGATGGTAATTTAAGGATTGTTCAGGTGATTCTGGAAGGGGAAGGGGTGGAGGGCAGAGGCTCTGCTTAAGAGGCTACATAATACTGGTGAAGGGTACCATGGTGAAGGGTACCATTGGTTTGGACTAGGGGAAAGAGCAGCCTAGAGATAAGAAATAGAGCACGTCTGTGAAGGAGGAAGAGCTTGCAGCTTCTACATTAGAAGAATGTTAAGATCTTTGAAAGGGTCAAAACCAAACCAAAAAAGAAAATGAACAGATTTTGAAGGGTAAAGTGAAATGCTGAATTTGATGGGTGATCCTGCTTCTGAGAGATGTTGACATGGACCTGCCTGGCTAGGTTAGGAAAAAGGACAGTGGGTTTGAGAGTTGTCTGTAGGTGAACCTCAAATGGTGTCGCAGTAGAACAGGACCAAAGTCTAGGGCCGAAAGCAAGCCAGGGGCAGAATATGGGATGACCTAGGATGCATCTGTTTTACAACTTGTCCTCTCACTGATCTCCCCTCAGAGTACCCAAAGGCAAGTGGAACAGCTCTAATGGGGTTGAAGAAAAGGAGTCTTGGGTGGAAGAGGAAGAACTGTTTCCAGTTCAGGGTAAGCTAGGAGATTCTCCTTGTCTTTCTTGGACACTTGCTGAATGGCTGATGCATGCTATTGTCACATTAATTTTCCAGAAAGTGCTTGTCTCCAAACTAGACAAAGTTTGTTAAGTTCCTCACTGATTCATAAAGAGTCAATTTTATGTCCTTTTCTACTAAACAATGAAGACTGTCAAAGCAACACTTTAAAGAAAATTCTTGGTTTTGTTTCAATAAGCCCTGTATTTATAATTGATGTTCTTCCTAAAGACTTTTAATTGGAAAAGGTAAAAGTAGGTATTCCCTGCATTTACTTAAGTACAAAATCCCTTACCAGTTCTTTCATATTTTTCCCCTAAGATGAGAAGCTTCATTTTTTCCATAGTTAATACTGAACTTAACAGCATTTGCATTAGAATCCCTCATCACATATTTTGCATTCTAATGGAAATATCTTAATATTAAATCTTAATTTTGGAGATTCTAAATACCTTTGAAACACAGCAACAGGAATCCTTTGCCAATTCCAAAGGCTGTCCTTAAAAAATATCTTCATTGAGAAAAACATAGTTGGCAAGATCATATAGAAAGTAGGGGAAATAAAACCAGTACAAGTGGCATTAAATATTCTGAACAACAGAATATAAGTTACAGAAAACATTCACTTCCAGTACAGCCCAGACTTGTCATATTTAGAAATCTGCTTCCACTGTAGTATGAAATACTTTGTAAATGAAAAATAATCTCCTTAGAAGTATCCCTTTCCTGAGTCACCTTTCTCCATTGTTTAAGAAGCATTGCTGGGGGCCTCCCCTGTGGCGCAGCGGTTGAGCGCTGGGTTGCGAAGCTGCCTGCAGCCTCTGCAGCGCCAGTTAGATCCCCAGCTGCTCCCCAGCCACGGGAGGAGGGTCCCACATGGTGCGTAGACCTCTCCTGCCGTCCGCTGCTCCCCTCAGCAGTGTACTTTGGTCCTTCTGCCTGCTCTGCTCCCCGCTCTGGCTCTGGTGAGTTCTCTCACCCTCTTGCGCTTCTGACTGTACCCAGTGCTTGTATAAATAAATAAATAAATCTTAAAATAAAAAAAAAAAAAAAAGCATTGCTGGAAGAGTGGCATCTGCTAAGGCACTCTGTCAAGTTTCATGATTATACAACTTTACTTTTTCTTACAGCTTTTTTCACTGGCTCTCATAGGCTTGACATGACATACCTTTTATAATTCTAGACCATCCTGTAGCCCTCTGGTCCTTAAAATTACCTTGGGGCATTTTTAAAAAAAGATTGATTTATGCATACAAGAACTGGGGTGTAGGTCAGAGGTATGGGGTATGTGTGTGAAAGGATTCACCAGAGAGTGGAGAGCAGAACAGGGAGATTTACTGAAATACACTGCTGAGGGGAGCAGCGGGTAAGACAGGAGAGGTCTGCTGCACCATGTGGGTCAGCTCCCTGGGTGGCGGGGGATGGAACTCATGTTGCTTCGAAGGCTTGATAGTGCTGTGTCTTTAACCTCTTGGGGCATGTTTTTTGAAGACTGGTATTTCCTATAGTGGGAGGGTGAACCTGCCCACATCCCGCATGGTCTGTCAAAGCAGAAAAGCAGTATCACCCTGTTCTTTTAAGGAAATGAACCATGAAAAACACGTACATACATATACCTGCATATGTATGTATACCTATATGCACATCTATAAAGGTGTATGTCCATGTATATACTCATTCATCTAGCCATACATTCATTTTCATATGGGGTTAAAATACCAGCCCCTCAGTAATTTTGGAAAATGACCATTTGGGGGGCCTCCCTGGTCGCAGAAGGCGACCAGGCCACTGCAGCACAAGTTTGATCCCCGGCCAGGGAGCTACCCACATGGCGCAGCAGACCTCTCCTGTCTCACCCGCTGCTCCCCTCAGCAGTGTATTTCAGTAGATCCACTGTTCTGTTCTCCACTCTGTCTCTGGTGAGCTCTCTCAACCCTTGCACCTCTGGCCTACATCCCAGTTCTTCTGTGCAAAACTAAATTAAAAAAAAAAAAAAAGCCCCAAATTCATCATTAACCAACGTTTATTGAATGCCTCTGTTTTCATTGTACAGATTCTCATAGGTTGAAATGATTGGTGCCTTGCAAACAAAGGACAAAAATAAACTATCCTTTAGGGATGTCCTTACATTTTTCAAAGTTTGTGAAATTTAAATCAAGTTTTTCCCTTTAGGGACATTATATGTCTTTTTCTTATGGTTTATGTAGAGAAAGGTGAACTCTGAAATGAGTCTACTTTTAATGTTTTCCAGCAGCACCAGATGAAGACAGTGCAACCAGTATAACAAAAAAGCAGGTAATTAAAAATTCTCTTTTATGGTTGTGTGGGTAGAACAGAGGTAAGATAAGTCCCTACATCTCAAAGGCTGTGTAACCTGGCTGTGTAACCTGGCTCTAAAATTTTGTGCTTTTGTGTGATTTTCAGATAATTCAAACTAAATAGTTACTTTCTGGAGGAAAAATGTAGGACAGAAGCTAGCCATATATACCAACCCTTCACAATGCACATCTGAAGTTCTGAATATATGTATAAGTGATTATTAGCTGAGATGAAATGGCAGGCCATTGAAAATTATCAAATGTCTAAATCCAGTGTTATTTGTCATGTTTTAAAAATACAACCGTCCTTTGGGTTCAGACCAATCTTGTAGGATTCTTTAGTTTCCTCTTCACTGTATAAAAATGTGAGTAACTTAAAAAAAAAAAGTGCAGAGATAGGTTGTGATAAACTTCTTGGTTTTCTTTTGCAGAAATGGACTGTAGAAGAGAGTGAGTGGGTCAAGGCTGGCGTGCAGAAATACGGGGAAGGAAACTGGGCTGCCATTTCTAAAAATTACCCATTTGTTAACCGAACAGCTGTGATGATAAAGGATCGCTGGCGGACCATGAAAAGACTTGGCATGAACTGAAACAGGCTTTCATTCCACAGAATTCATAGGAGCATGGTTCCTAATAATAGCCCCTGGTAGTCTGTTTCTTTCAGAAGCTGGGCTGGGATGAGAATTTTGGGCATCCTCCTTCGACATGAGGGGCGGTCCCAGTTTCACTTTACCGCTCTCGGAGCTAAGAAACAAAGCCAAGTCCCCCCCCATGTCCTTGGCAGAGATGACAGGCACATAGCTTGTACAGTGCCAGAATATCATTAGTATTTCCCTTCTTTAGTGGTTTGCTTGAATTTAAATTCCTGGTAATTAGTAGAACCTCTCCTAGGAAATGGTGGAGTCTGTTAGGAGCCACTTTTGACTTCACAACCTGTTAAAACCAGCAACATGAGCATTATTTGGAGTGAACTCTATCCAGGTAAAGCTTTGGCCTTCCAATGCAAATGCAAAGGACCTTTGTTATGAGCCCAGGTTGATGAGAGACCAGTCCTGGTAAAATCAGAGTCCTTTTAAAACTGCTTAGCCCGTTGTGACATCAATACTGAGATCTGACTGTCTTGGCATTTGCTTGTATCATTTGCTGGGCTGCACAGACAGGTTTAACCTCCATTTCTCATGTGGTTGAACCTATGTGTTTTTTGGTAAAATGGTGATTGTAGATAAACTTAGCCTCTCCCCCATCCTCTCCTGACAATTCCCTACCTTATGCTGGACTTTTAAAGCCTAAAAGAAAATCCCAATTGACTATAAATGTCTAATTCCATTCTTTGTGAAATGGTTGCTTCCGCTTGATTCCCTAGTTGTGCTGTGTTAGTGTCTTGCACTGAAATTCAACATTCCCTTCTCCCTTTTCCTTTTGTACCGTGTTGTGCTTGCTGTTTCTTGGACATCCTTTAAGACTTTTTAGCAAAAAAAAAAAAAAAAAAAAAAATATTCAGTAAAGTGTTTTCTGTAATCTTTTTTTAAAATACGGGAACTAATTATTGTCCATAACTTGTAGCATTCTTCATTAAAGTACTGCTTCTCTCAAACTTAAGTAGCATTTTAATTGCAGCACAGCATGTATGAATAGGCAGAGGTAACAAAATGTTGAACAGGCTTTTATGAACCATGTTGACTATGTTAAGAAGTTGAGGTCATCCAAAGGCCGTACTGAATTTTATAATCTTTGCAAGCAGTGTACAAAAGTTGTGGAAGATCCCTCTGAATTTGTCCACTTCTTCATATACCATATTCTTGGAGACAAAAAAATTATCCCTTGAAAGGCAAGGTGTAAAACACTGAAATTTTAAAATGTATCCTGTAGCTGTAAGTTGGAAATTTTGTACAGCTTTACTGCTATAACTACACGTTTGTGTTTGGTACTCCTGTTTTTCTGTTAACCCCAAATGAAACTGCAGTGAGAAGGTGAGAACTTGATCCCTCCTGATCCAGCCACCTTCTGGTTGCAGCTAGTTGTGGTCACCTTCCAAACTGGATGGGGAATCCTGAAGCTTTTCTTTCCTTAACAGAAGGGCAACACTGTGATGCATGTAAGGAAGCAAAATACTGTAACAACTGTTTCTCAAATTTAAAAAATGCAGAGTTCCATGTTTCATGTAACTTTTGTGTTACTGGAGTGTCACTGAAATGCGTACAAATGTTAGACTGTGCCTACAGCTTTTCTAGAACTGTTGAAATACACTGTAACTGTGTTTCGCTGACTTTAAGTCACTGATCATGACTGTGGCAATGATGGGACTCAGATTGAGGATGCTGCTGTGTACTAAGAAAGCGTTGCCGTCTTGCCCACCTTCTCCTAAGCAAGACTACTGCAGAGTGATTGTGTCTCCTGAGTGCTGTGATGTTTTCTGGCCTTTGCTAGAACTGATCACAGTTACGAAGGCTGTTCTTTATTAGCTTGTGACAAAGTGCTAACCACTTGGAGTCAACAGTACAGTGAATTCTGAGGTAGGAGGTGCTAATACTGTTTTATTAAGATTATGGATGAAATAAAACCATTTATACATTGTCCAGAACTCAGTAACTGACAAACACTGGCCTGGCAGGTAAGATATGTGAGGTCCATTCAGCCCCAGCTATGCCAGTTGTGCTTACTAGACAGTGGATCCAGTTCCTGGAATCTTTGAAAGTGTCTCTTTATCTGTAATGCAGTGGGCAGTGGTACTTCTCTTGCAGGGCCGTTGTGAGAATAAGATACAGGTATGTAAATCCCTTAACTCAGTGCTAGCCATGAAGCGAGTGGGTGTTCAATGAACCTTCCCGTGGGTGCTGAATTCAGGGATAAAAGAAGAAAGATCAAGAGTTTAAGCAATTCAACAGTCTTTAAATGAGTTTTGGATTGCTTTAGATGAATTAACAGGTGCAAAGTAGCAGAACAAGAAGGACTATCAGTGGAGGGGTCAGACCATTGTCTTGTTCACACTATTCATCCATTAATATTTTTGCACACATTTCCAAGCTGTGCTTTTGCTTTCAAAGTTATAGCACCGGGAAGAAGGAAGTCTGTTGAAATCACATGTCCTATGTGTGACATAAGAGCAATAGGTGTCTTCTAGCAATTAAAGATGAAAAAGTGAGAACAATCTTCTCCGATAACTTAAGTATATTCAGACAGCTGTTAATAAACGTACCCAAAATGCTTTATTTCCAAGAAACAGAACTGAAAAATGAGCCCAAAGAATTTAAATACCTCTTCTGAGTACATTCTAGCACATTCTACCTGGTATCTGTGAAACAGGCTTTGTAAGTCACTGTTCCTGTGAGCCAAATATGAGAGTACTATGCCAGCTCTATCCTGGAATATCTATGCATGGCCCTGAAACTGGCCCAAATGTGGTTCGTGGGGTTAATGATTACCACAGTGGTTGTCTGGACTACGTGGTTCCACAAGCTGCACGCAGTTTACTTACAGGGGAGTCTCCAGAAAGCAGCATGTTCACTTTGCTCCTTGGTGCTGGACTGCTGGTTCTGAACCTAGTGACCTCTGTGAGAAGCCAGAAGACAGAACCCCTAAATGGTTCTGGAGATCAGCCACTCTTCCACGGAGCCGATCGATATGACTTTGCCATCATGATCCCTCCAGGAGGTGCAGAATGCTTCTGGCAATTTGCCCACCAGACTGGCTTCTTCTATTTCACTTATGAGGTACTTGGGCTCCTGGGCCATACTGGGGATTTTTTGGTTTCCTTTTATAATATGGGTCACGTTTTACATGAACGCAGGATTTTGATTGTCTTTATTATGCTGTAATTTCCCATCTGTTAATGAAATGGACCTAGAGTTGGATGAAAATTCTTGATGGACAGATGATGACAAAAACATATGGTTTGACTTCTCAAGTGTGTTGACTTCTCAGGGGGGACTACAGCAGCACAGCACAGACGGCATCTCAGAGAGCTAATCATAGCATGTACTCAGGTTTGGAGCTGAGAGGGGAAGAGAATGCATTTTTAGATGTTAAAACATATGGGTGTGGTACCAAGATGAAAGAAAAGTCACATGAACTTTGGAGGTAGATCCAGAGATTTCAGAGAAAGATGTTGCAGTTTATGAGGTCTGGGAGAGCAACACTTACTCTCTTCTCTTTAAGGGCAATTCTGGCAAGTAGGAGAACTGCTGGCTCAAAGTCTCCCTATTTGGCCAGACTGTCATTTCTTCTAAGAAAGTGACTATTTTCGACACCTGTTCACAGACCAGGTGCCCTGAGTCTAGCACCATAGTGCTTGGTGAGTTCCATGGCAAAGTTAGAGGCAATTCATTTCCTTTGCTCTTTATCTTAGAAACCTGTTTACTTTCTAATTTTTATTTATATAGCAATAGATGATATTGATATTACTCCCACTGTAACTTAAAATTTATTTTAAAGTAACTTATCAACTTTTTATTATCTCTAACTTTATATTAGAACAGTAGCTGCTGGTCAGCTCACTGTAGCTTAGGCCTATCAAGAGCCAGCTTAGAACAAGTACCTATTGAGTGCCTTATTTATTTGCTGTGAAGCATCAAAGAAGCCCAAGTCTGGGATAGCATCAGGAGGTCAAAACCCGGCAAGTTCAGTCATGAACTTAGCCAGAATCAAACATCCTAACCAATACATGACAGCTACATGGTCTGAGACAAGTTTCTTAGCTGCAGTGCCATTGGCAACTCTTTGTCCTGCAATACCCTTTCTAACGCGGCAGGATATTCAACTTTGCCATCCCTCCCCAAACCCGCTTTCTAATACTATCACTGTCTCAATGCAAATTCTCAGGGGGGTTGGGCAGTACTAATCCAGGCTGAGAACCACTGTGCTGGACATGGTCTGCTACAAAGTCAGAAAAGCAACGTGACCTTTGCTGGTGTAGGCAGAGATGTCAAGGAAAGATGCTGCAGTTTATGGGGTCTGGGGGAGGGGGGGCAATGTTTACTCTCTTGTCATTAGGGGCAATTCTGGCAAATCAGAACCGCTGGCTTAAGATGTCTATTCCACCAGACTGTCCCGTGCTGATGTTCACAGGACTGCAGTCTTAGCACGATGCTAGCTTCGTGGTGATGTAGCAGGGGCTTTTCTCCCCCTTTAATGTGTCTTGGCAGGTTCAGCGGATACTGGGAATGTCACATGACCGGCAAGTTACTGCCACTGCACATACGCCCCAGGGTTTTCTCATAGACACCTCTCAGAATGTTCGAGGCCAGATTAACTTCTCTACCCAAGAGACAGGTCTGTTTTCATCACCACAACCATTATAATAGCAATTAAGTTTCTTTTAAGTTGGGGAATTAATGAGGAAGTACTAAAATTCATTAACTGAGATGTAAAAAGCCTGGTTTTTCACAGGGATGGTGACACAGAAAAAAAAATCACCATCCATTCAACATCAAAAACCAATATTCCTGGGACCTCCCTGGTGGCACAGCCGTTGAGCGCTGGGTTGCGAAGCTGCCCGCAGCCTCCGCAGCACTGGTTCAATCCCGGCCACCAGGTGATGGTCTCACATGGCGCGCAGACCTCTCCTGCCGCCCGCTGTTCCCCTCAGCAGTGTATTTCGTCAAGTCTGCCTGCTCTGCTCTCCGCTCTGACTCTGGGGAATTCTCTCACCCTCCCGCGCTTCTGACTGTACCCAGTGCTTGTATAAATAAATAAAAAAAAAGAAAAAAAAAAACAATTTTCCTGAGGACTGCTGATGGCCAAGGGACATTAAGCGGCAGTCTATGGACAGGGCAGGGGCAGAGCCTCCAGGTGACTATTAACCCCAGGATCCAGATGCTTACATTTACCTCATCATCTCCAATTAATCAGATTATGGGAAAATGGCCAAAACAGAGAGGTCCATTTCTAATACAGAATTCCACTTAAGAAATTTATTACTGGGGCCTCCCGGTGGTGCAGCGGTTGAGCACTGGGTTGCGAAGCTGCCCGCGGCCTCTGCGGCGCCGGTTTGATCCCCGGCTGCTCCCCGGCCACCAGAGGAGGGTCCCACATGGTGTGCAGACCTCTCCTGCCGCCCGCTGCTCCCCTCAGCAGTGTACTTCGGTCCTTCTGCCTGCTCTGCTCCCCACTCTGGCTCTGGTGAATTCTCTCACCCTCCCACGCTTCTGACTGTACCCAGTGCTTGTATAAACAAACAAATAAAAAACAAACAGATAAATAAAAATACATGCCTCTTTAAAAAAAAATTATTACTGGACAGCATTTCTTTCCAATTACCAGAATATTTGAGCTTGTTACCAAAAGCTGACTCAGAACAAAAGGAAACACATGGCCATGACAAAAAAAAAAAAAAATCTACATTCCACAACGAAGCCTCTCCATTCACTAGAAAATTCCCACAGCCAGATCAATAATGGACAGTGCCAGTCAATTTTTAATTGGCCTCTCTTCTGGTCAGGAGTATAATACTTTCTCAACAGCAGCATCAGACCATCGTGCATCACAAGAAATTCAGCATCCTTGACTCCCTACATGGTAGCAGTGCTTTCCAATCATTTTGACCAACACAAGCCACACAGCCCTAACTGCCCCACTTCCCTTCACACACACATAGGCCATCCCAGTTGACAACCAGCAGCCGTACATACCCCAAACTATCAACCCCTTTCAGGCAGTTGCTCTAGGACAGCAACTTTTACTCACAATGTATAAATTCTTTTTCCAAGTTTCAAGGTAAAGATGGTATCCGCAAGCTCTAATAGTATATGAGGAGGGAAACATCATGTCGAGCAGAAATTCCTTGACATGTGCAAATTGTAGGTGAGAAAAGAGGGAGCAATAATGTTTTCTAGTTGATACAGAACTAAAGTTACTAAAGCTATTATAATCTCTAGTAAAGTAAGTTCCAGATAAGATCAGTGTCTTAAAAATTGGATCTTTGCACTTCCTAAGTAAAAAGGCGATGCTATAGCATCACATTTAACAGGAAATAGAAATCTCCAGGGAGACCAAAAGGGTGGGAGGTCAACAGAGGGAAGGAAATCAAGTCTTGGTAATGATCTCAGGGTTTTTACAGGTTTTTATCAGCTTTGTATAAAAAATCAGCAAAATCACTTCGGTTCTGTGCAAGTATACCTCAACTTTGGAGTCTTCTACGAGGACCCTGAGATGGACCACAAACAAAAGAATGAGAGAAAACACCTGAATGACACTCTGGATGCAATTGAGGTAACTTTTGTAGGAGAGAAGATCAGTAGAAATGGATTTGAAGTTTGGAGGAAAGATTAGAATTATGGGAATAGTATCAATTAAGTGAGGATTCACTTGGGTAGAAACCAAACAGGCAAGAGGATCTGAATCCTTTCATTTTTATGACTTTGGAGCTCTTGAAATTCTTCATTTGTTTTATACTAGGTGTTGGCAAATCACAGCTCACAGGCCAAATCTGGCCCAATGCCAGTTGTTTTTTGATATATTATTCAAAACCACTCAATTTACCGTTTGAAGTGCACACACCACCGATTTTTTAGTGTATTTCCAAGGTCCTATGACCATCATCGACATCCACTTCCTAAAGTTTTATCAACACAAAGAGAGACCTCAACCACATTAGTCACCGTTTCCCACATCCTCTGGGCAATTATCAGTCTACTCTCTGACTCCGTAAATTTGCCTCCTCTGTACATTTCACAAGTGGAATCATACAGTGTGGCCTTTGTGGCTAGCTTCTTTCACTTTGTGTGTTTCAGGCTAAATGAGAGTGCTTATTAGTACTTCAGTCTTTGTGAAGGATGGGTAGTATTCTATTTTATACAGACATATACTTTATGCATTCTTCGGGCTGCTAGACAGTTGGGTTGTTTCCATTTTGGGCTATTATGAATAATGCTGTGAACAATTGCATGCAGTTTTGTGCGAACATTTTCATTTATTTTTACCTAGAAGTGGTATGAATATACTGTGGGTCATGTGGTTACACTCCCACCAGCAGATATGATGACTGCAATGTCTCCACACCCTCATCAACCAACATGTACAGTCATCCTAGCAGGTGTGAAGTGGTGCCTTGGGGGATTAAGTGGTGTCTCCCTAATGACTAGTGACATCAATCATCTTTTATGTGCTTTTGATAATTTATCTTCTTTAGAGAAATATCTACTTGAATCCTTTGCCCATTTTAAAACTGGGCTATTTGTCTTTTTATTGTTGAGTTGGAAGAGGATTTTTAAATATATTCTAGATGTCACTTATCAAACATGTGATTTTATTTTTTTTCTCCCATTCTCCTGATAGTCTCCCCTGTTTTTGGAAAGTTCTGGTGAACACTGCCATAATCATTTGAAAATTACATATTGTCAATCACTACTTTTGGGCTACAATGGCAGAATTCAGTAGTTGTGACGGAACACATAGCCTGCAAAGCCTAAAATATTTACTGCCTGGACCTTTAAAAGAAGTTTGTAGGGCCTCCCTGATGGCGCAGCAGGTTGAGCACAGCGCTGTGAAGCTGTCCAAAGTCTCTGTGGCACGGGATTGATTCCCAGCTGGCCAGGGAGATTCCCACATGGCGTGGCAGACCTCTCCTGTCTTGCCCGCTGCTCCCCTCAGCAGTGCTTTCAGTCTGGCTGGCTGATCTGCTCCCCACTCTGTCTCTGGTAAATCCTCTCACCCTCCTGCGCCTCTGCCCTGTACCCCAGAGCGCTTGTATAAATAAAACACATCTTAAAAAAAAAAAAGTTTGTAGATCCTTGTAGTCCACATATATGAAGAACAGAAGATATTATCCAGAATGGCAATATGCTGAATAATATCTAAATCTAGAGATACTCTAGGAGAGACCTCTAGTTTTACCACATTTTTCATTATTAAAAAAACTAAAAAAATTAAAATCCAGGCCATTTTTTTCATCTACAGCAAAACTAGCATTTTCAACAACTAGACACAACTTAATACATATCATAAAATGATGACTTATTCAACTTCCATATTAATTTAGATTAGCGCTGGTGAGCAACCAGGTAAGGCTAGATGGAGTGGAGGACACCACCTTTATTTCACCTTTTCCCACAGGAGAGTACACGGAAGGTGCAGAGGAACATATTTCACATGTGGCGACACTACAACTTTGCCCGCATGAGGAAAACGGCTGACTTTTTCCTTCTCCAATCAAACTATAACTATGTGAACTGGTGGTCAACAATCCAGAGCCTTGTCATTGTTCTTTCTGGGGTCCTGCAGTTGTATTTCTTGAAGCGTCTCTTCAATGCCCCAACAACTACCGACACAAACAAGCCAAGATGTTAATAAGCTAACTACAGTACCCTGCTTCTTTTCTTCTGGGGCAGAGGCTTTGTCAAAGCTTTACTTTAGTCAAATCAGCTTTGCAGTTCTTGGAAATAATAAATTTCTCTAGTCAGAAAGCTTTTGTTTACTGCTCTCATTTACAAAGCAAAATAGCAATAAAGAAATTTTGGTGCTATTTCTAACGTGCTAAGTGTTACCAAAACCGTGTTCATCATACAACAGCACCTTAACAAGACAAACTTGGAAGGGAGAAGACTTGAAAAAAGTGGGATACATATTACATACAAAGTTAGAAGTGGGTAGCCTGTTTTTCTGTAGTTGAAAAATGTTTTATTTTTAGATAAGTCACCTTTGGAATTCAAGATTAAGTAGTGTATTAAAGAAATTATTTTACAAGTACTTTCAAAAACTTTGTGAAATGTTTTTCATTAAAAAAAAAAAACTTTAATAATTCTAAACACAGTTTGGGGAGGAGTGAGGAAGACTGCTGAATTATTTCAGGGTGTCTGATCACTGCTTTTGGTCCAGTCCAGTCAGGTAAGTAAAAGTTCATAGAAAAATTCTGTTTCTCTATGGAAATCAAGGTGATGAAAACATTACAGGCAGGGATCACACCATCCAAGAAAAACAAAGATCCAGAAAACAGCTTGTAAAAACCAAGATGATAAAATCAAATTATACTCTTAAGACCCTACTTATCGTACTCAATTACAGTAAATGCAATATGAAAATAATTCTTACCATTTGTTTGCCAGGCACTGTACTAAGTGCTTTACAATCATGATTTCTAATTCTAAAAACCATCCTTAGGGAGACGATAAGCTGTTTTTTAAAAAAGAATGAAACAAAGTTCAACTCATTGAAGCCACTTAGCGATCAAAACTGGGGTTTGAATCCAAGATTTTCGTCCATGCCACATAGCATCTACTAAATAGAAAATTATAAACTACTCTCATTACTTTTGTCAAATTTCATTTGTAAAATCCCATACCTCTCACTGTTCTCATATAAGCATTATCTACCTTTCACAAAATAAACAATGAAGAAAATCCATTGAGTTCTTATCATGAGTTAAGAAAACAGTTATCACAGATAACACAGATAAGCCATTCTTGTGCTCAGTGCCAAGGATGTAGAACTTGTTACTCAAAACAAGAAGTCTTTTGATTCAAACATAAGACACAGTGTTCCATTTAGTCACAAACACAGCGATCTGATACCCCATTTTTGAGCTATTTCTGCACAGTAAGAAATCAGCCTGCATGGATCTGTAATTGAGAGAATATTAAACCAAGCCCCTGAAGAAGTCACAGTGTTGACAAAATTCAACATGATGGCGGAGCCTACACACACAGGAAACAAAGCTAGGCCCTTCCACACAGCCATAAGTCCTTGCGATGATTTCGTTTTAAGTCAATGTCTCTTCATGCCGCACATATTCCCCAATGTCTGCTTGATGAAATACCACAATCGCCATGGGGTCTACTTTCCTGCAGTCTTGTGTAGACTTTGCTGCCACCCCAAAACCCTGGGATTCAAAAGAAGAGACACTGGTTCACTCAAGTCATTCAACAAGTACGTATCAAGGGCTAGAATTAACAAAGACGAAAAGTACTTATCTTTGTGGAATTCAAAGAGTGCTAGCACACAGACATCCTTCCTGAACAAAAGAATACTTGATTTTTGTAACAGCTGCCATGTCTACTCACCAAAGGGATATCTGCCATGGAATACACCACCACTCCCTGGTACTGAGAAGTATTTTCAGTGATTCGACCCAGACCAGATTTCAAAACATGGTTCCCATACAGGAAGGACTGCTCTGCTCCAGGTTTTATCCACACTTTATACTGAAAGAAAAAGAATTCAATGCCATAGACATAAAAATGCTAATAATTATATCCCTGCAGATAAGCTAGCTATTGGATCTATGATTAATTTCCTGAAAGAAATTTAAGGAAAGATCCATGTTTCTCTCAAATTGCACCACCTGAACAGAACTACCAGGAAGAGGTTCTTTCCTCAACTCTACAAGCAACGTCTCCCACAGACAGCTTAATGGCTTTCCCCACCCCCGGATCCCATTATGCCCCTCATCATAGACACCTAATTTGCTTTTCCACATTCAGCTGGGTCTGTATAGGCTTTCTCCTTTGCCGGAGATAACTGCGACCACACAGCTAATACCATTACCTCAGAACCTTCATGACGCCTGAGCGGCAAAACCTAACACCTCCATCTGCGGGCACTGACCCAAGCACTATGAGGGACTCTGTGGCAGAGGAGCTGCCCAATTATCTGCCCTCTGGAGGAGCGCTCATCCTTGACTCCGCCACCCCCATGAAGACTGGAAACCACCCCACAAACCTTGGCATAGGGTGCAAGGTAATCCAGAGCCGTGACGTGCAGCCGGAATTTATGGGTCTTAGTGAATTTTCCGAAGCAGGTGCCCAGCGACACCAGCTTGTCTCCAGAGATGTTGGCGGCCAACTTCAGAATCTTCTCACTGAAGGAGTGAGGAAGAAAAAGCGTCACGCCAAGGCGACGGGGGGTGGGGGGGGAACCAGACGGTCCCCGTCTGGGCCCACGCCGTCCAGGGCGCCCCGCCTCACCTCACGTAGTACACCCGGTCGTTGTGCAGCCTGAAACAGTAGGTGCCGTCGGGCCTGTCGACCAGGAGCTGAAGATTTTCCCCGATACTGAGGGCAAAAAGTAGGAGTGGAGGTCGCGCCCAGAACGACTCGCCCGGCACGGGGCCCGCGCCCTGCCCACGACTCGCGCCGCCACACGCACACCTCCTGCCCCGCACCGCGCGCCCTTACTATTTTGCGACTTTCTCAAACATTACACGGGTCTCCTCTTCAGTCAAAGGCCGCATTTTCCCGCTGGGCCGGAACACCGGATCCTCGTGCCTCAGCCGCCGGAAGCGGAAATCACTGCTCCCTGGCAAGCCCAAAGCCGGCCTCTCTAGCCGCTGTCTCTTTGCTCCTGCGCCGGCAACGCGCAGCCTGGAGGACCGACCGGTCTACCCGACGAGGAAACCACAGAGACAGGAAGTCCATCCCATCCGCTTCCGGTCCAAGATTGGGACGCAGCGCCCTCCCCGGGGCGGAGGGGAAGTGACGCTGTGGCCGGGAAGATGGCGGCGGCGCCGGCGACAATCCCGTCTTCGACTCCCACTTCGGCCGCGGCGGCTCTCGGGGAGGTGGAAGATGAAGGGCTCCTGGCGTCGCTGTTCCGGGACCGCTTCCCGGAGGCCCAGTGGCGGGAGCGGCCCGACGTGGGCCGCTACCTCCGGGAGTTGAGCGGCTCCGAGCTGGAGCGGCTGCGACGCGAGCCAGAGCGCCTGGCGGAGGAGCGGGCGCAGCTCCTGCAGCAGACCCGCGATTTGGCCTTCGCCAACTACAAGACCTTCATCCGCGGCGCCGAGTGCACGGAGCGCATCCACCGCCTCTTTGGCGACGTGGAGGCGTCGCTCGGCCACTTGCTTGATCGCTTGCCCAGCTTCCAGCAGAGCTGCAGGTGCGGCGGACCAGGCGCTTAAAGGGGCTTTTAACAGCTACAATAGCAGACACTCACACGGGGCTTACCTTGGGCCAGGTGCTCCTCTGAGCATTTTTTAACCCCTTTAAGCTTCACGACAGTCTTCGAGGTAGGTAGTGTTACTCCCATTTTATGTACGAGGAAGTTGAGGCACAGAGAGGTTAGTGATTGTCAAAAGGCGCAGCTCGTCAAGTTTCTAAGTCAGAACTGGAACCCAGCAGCAGCGCGTCCCTCCCTCGATAAGACTGTTGTGAGCACTAAATAAAGAGAATACATGCAAAGCACTTAAACGGAGTCTGTCCTAGTTAACACTCTGTTAGTTTAGTATATGTGCATGTTGATGTATTTATAGAAAACAGGTGATCTGCTTCATAACGCTCACTGATAGAAAACTGACAAGGAAAGAGTCCCAGGTGGAGGAGGCAAAAATTATCAGAAATACCTCTTTTTTGAAGTACATTCTGTCTCCCTGAAATCACAACTCATCTCTAATTCTTCCTTCCATCCTTCTGTCATAGAAGTTTGTTTTTTCTTGAGTCTTTGGATCTCTGACAACAGCTTTTTTTACACTCTCCCACGACCCCTGCACTCCTAAGAAAGGTAGAGAGTGCACTTCATAAAGTAGGTCTCTGCAATTATGGAGAAGAAATGGATACTGGTGGGAACTAAAGTTGAATAAAAGCATAGGAGAAGACTAAGGCTGAGAGCATTTGTGGGTAAGGTTGTGGCTTCTAGATTACCTTGCACTTTATTAAGAAAACCAAAAAAGGGCCTCCCAGGTGGCGCAGCGGTAGAGCGCTGGGTTGCGAAGCTGCCCGCAGCCTCTTTGGCGCCGGTTCGATCCCCGGCTGCTCCCCGGCCACCGGAGGAGGGTCCCACATGGCGCGCAGACCTCTCCTGCCGCCCACTGCTCCCCTCAGCAGTGTGCTTCGGTCCTTCTGCCTGCTCTGCTCCCCGCTCTGGCTCTGGTGAATTCTCTCACCCTCCCGCGCTTCTGACTGTACCCAGTGCATGTATAAACAAAACAAACAAACAAACAAATAAATATATTAAAAAAATGCCTCTATTAAAAAAAAAATCTTAAAAAAAAAAAAAGAAAACCAAAAAAACTGTTAAGGGAACATTTGTCCTGTCAGTTTCTGTTAAGCAGTTTACCATCTCACTTAGTCATAAGATGGGTCCTATTACTACTGTTTTACTAATGAGGAAAGAGATTCATAGAGCCTAAGTACCTTGCCACAGCTGGTTAAGTGGCCGCTCTGGATTCACATCTCTGTCACTTAGTGTCATCTTCGACAAATTGCTTACCTTCACTGGGATTAAAGATTCTCAAGAATAGTAGTATTTACTACATAGGTTTAGTGCGAGGATTAAATCAGATTATCCCTCTAGCCCAGTACCCAGTTCATAGTAAGTGCTCGGCAACTCTAGATTTAGGTATAAAGCACTAAGGGACTAACATTCTGCTGATCGTTACTAGGAACTTTATGAAAGAGGCTGAAGAGATCAGCTCTAACCGCCGGATGAACACCCTGACTCTACACCGGCACACAGAGATTCTGGAGATCCTGGAGATCCCCCAGCTCATGGACACATGTGTCCGGAACAGCTATTTTGAAGAAGCCCTGGAGCTTGCAGCCTATGTACACCGATTGGAAAGGAAATACTCCTCCATCCCTGTCATCCAGGTAGCCAACCTGCCCAGAAAGAACTCTAACTGATATTCTTGTAATCAGTAATTCTGTAGTCATCACTGAACCTTTAGGCAAAAAACTTAGGGAAACTCCTTGCATGTTTTACTTCAATTTCTACCAGTCAGGTAAGGTTGAACATAAAACATTCCTCCTGGCTTTCATGAATGTAAGCTAGGTGTTGGTAAATAAGAGAATCAATAATATGATCCTTTGAGATGGTGGGAAGCTCCTGAAGAAAATGAACCGGGGACTGGGGTAGAGAGAGACTAATCCAGGTAGAGTGGTCAGGAAAGGCCTTTTCTGGAGAGAGAACATTTAAACTGAGCTCCAGATGATAAGGACCCAGCCATATGAAGATGTGAGCAAACTAGAAAGTAGGAAGAATATGTAGCAGAGTTGAGGAAGGAGAAAGTTGAGGCTTTAAGAAATAAAAAGCCAGTGTGTGACTGGATTGTAGTGAGCAAGTGGAGAGCATTAGGAAGTACCTGAGGCTGGAGACCCAGATAGGGCTGTAGACCACTGTGAAGAGTTTTAATTTTATTGATTAGAATGGGAAGTCTTTGAGGGCTTTAAGAATTTTTTTTAAAAGATTTTACTTATTTTTGAATAGAAGAACTGGGGTGTAGGCCAGAGGTGCAGAGGGCAAAAGGATTCACCAGAGACAGAGTGGGGAGCAGAACAGGCGGATCCACTGAAATACACTGCTGAGGGGAGCAGCAAGCGAGACAGGAGAGGTCTGCTGTGCCATGTGGGTCGGCTCCCTGGCTGGGGATGGAACTCAGGGACCCTTGGTGGGCCATCATGATGCCAGCACTGAGACTTAACCCCTTGTCCACCAAGGAGGCCCAGGGTTTTAAGCATTTTAAGCAGAAGTGAATGAATCAGATCTTTGCTAGCGAACCTATAAAATATCGCCTTAAGGAAATCAAGTTTGTATGTTGGGAAAGCAGTGAAATGTTGGTCTACAGTATTCAGCGTTCATGGAATGGGCTCCAGAGTGTGTTTTTCATATTGTGGTGACACTCACCTCCTTTTACTGTCAGGGCATTGTGAATGAAGTGCGCCAGTCCATGCAACTGATGCTGAGCCAGCTGATCCAGCAACTGAGGACCAACATTCAGCTCCCTGCCTGCCTCCGGGTTATTGGCTTCCTGCGGCGCATGGATGTATTCACAGAGGCTGAGCTGAGAGTGAAGTTTCTTCAGGCCCGTGACGCTTGGCTCCGTTCCATCCTGACTGCCATCCCCAATGATGATCCCTATTTCCACATCACAAAAACCATCGAGGCCTGCCGTGTCCATCTGTTCGATATCATTACCCAGTACCGTGCCATCTTCTCAGACGAGGACCCGCTGCTGCCCCCTCCCAGGGGGGAGCACACCGTGAATGAGAGTGCCATCTTCCATGGCTGGGTTCTGCAGAAAGTCTCGCAGTTCTTGCAGTTACTGGAGACCGACCTTCACCGGGGGATAGGTGGCCGCCTGGACTCTCTGCTGGGCCAGTGCATGTACTTCGGGCTGTCCTTCAGCCGGGTGGGGGCTGATTTCCGGGGCCAGTTGGCTCCTGTTTTCCAGCGGGTGGCCATCAGCACTTTCCAGAAAGCAGTTCAGGAAGCGGTGGAGAAGTTCCAGGATGAAATGAATTCCTACACCCTCATCTTGGCTCCAGCCATCCTGGGCAGCAGTAACCTGCCTGCTGCTGTGCCAGTTGCTCAGCCAGGGACCCTGCAGCCACCCATGGTGCTATTAGACTTCCCACCACTTGCCTGCTTCCTCAACAATATTCTGGTTGCCTTCAATGATCTGCGCCTTTGCTGCCCGGTGGCCCTGGCACAGGATGTGACCAGGGCCCTAGAGCAGGCCCTTGCCAAGGTGAGTGCTTACTCTTGGCTCTCCTGGGGCGGCCCTGAGTAACAGGGGGCCAGTCCATTTGTTGGTGGTGCTGCTAACTTATGAGAGCGGGAGTGTGGTTTTAGATGTATTCCTAGTTGAGAAGCTCTGGTTAATTTCCCTTTTTGGGACCTAGAACAAGCCATGAAGTGGCTTACACTCAGCAATGTGTTAGTTTTCTTTTGCTGCATAACAAACTCCCACAAGCCTAGCAGCTCAAAACATTTTTCATTTTCCTTGTGGCACAGGATGCAGTTAAGTGTCAGCTGGGCTGCATTCTCATCTGGAACTTGGGGAGGGGAACCCGTTCTGCCTCATTCACTTTGGCGGGTTTCTGGGCCTGAGGCCACAGTTCCTCGGGACCTGCTCACTCCACAGGCAGTTCACAAAATGGCTTTTTGATTCTTAAAGGTCAACAGGAAAGCATCTCATGCTTGAGTCTTTTTAGCACAGTCCTCTTTTAATAGGCTTATCTAAGTCAGAGCCTTCCAGGATGAGCTCCTTTCTGATGAATTTAGAGTCAGCTGTTAAGGGACTTCAGTTATATCTGCACAACCTTCACCTTGGCCATACTCCCCCCCCCCCCATTCCTTTGTTTAGAAGGAGATCACAGACTCTGCCTACGCTCGGGGGTTAGGGTTTACACAATTGAGGCAGGAATCACAGAGCCCTCTTAGAATTCACCTGACACATAAACTTCTAGTCCTCCTCCTCCTACTACTTCCCTAGTATGGTGCACAATATCTATACATTTAAACTTTAGATTTTGGAATCCTTTTTACAACTGATGGCATCTTATAATTTCTGTCAGTCAGGTGGCAGTTGTGATATGGTATAAAATCGTCCTGTTAGTGTTCTATAAAATCAGGAAAGCAGGCCTCTTCGGTGGCGCAGCGGGTTGAGCGCAGCACTGTGAAGCTGTCCGCAGCCTCTATAGCACGGGTTCGATCCCGGCTGGCCAGGAAGAAACCCACATGGCACAGCAGACCTCTCAGCAGTGTCTCTGGTCCGTCTGCCTGCTCTGTCTCTGGTGAATTCTCTCACCCTCCCGCACCTCTGACCTGTACCCCAGTGCTTGGATAAATAATCTTTTAGAAAAAAATCAGGAAAGCATGAGCACTGACGCTTTTTTAAAGTCCATAAAATTCAGAAGAGAGTAATTAGCTAATAGTTACATAGAACTTACTCCACGCTGCGTAGCAGTCATCATACTTTACACATACTGAGATTAGATCTCACAACCTGTAAGTGTATGTAGGTCCTGCTGCTGACCCTATTTTATAGGTGAGGAAACAGGCAGAGAGGGCATAGAAGGCTCTGGTAGCCACTTGGAAGTCACATAAGTGCTAAGTGCCACAGCCGGGACTTGATCCCAGGAACCAGCCCGTGTTCTTCACCCTGTCATTGTGATACGTGTCTAATGTCAGCGGGACTGCTCTGTTATTTGTAGATGGAACTTCTAGCTCTGTTTTTGTTGTGGGTTTGTGGTTTTTTTTTTTTTTTTTTGGTGGGACCCTCGCTGGCGGCCTGGGATCGAACCGGCGCTGCAGAGGCTGCGAGCAGCCTCGCAGCCCAGTGCTCAACTCACCAGAGGCCCGGAACTCCTAGCTCTGTTTCTTTTTTTCCTTTATCATACTAGTGGTTCTAACTTCTAGAACCTCAGAGGCTTTACTCAGTAGAAACCTTTTATAGTTTTGCTTCATTTTCCTGGATCTAAAATAATTTTGGTTCCTCTCCCATGGGAGTCAAGGACCATGCATTCTTGGTACAATTTCATGTACTGGAACTGGAAACTGTGCCAGTAATGAAACCACTTGGATCAGAAATACATCAGTGAAGTGACAGAACTGTGGAGATTGACCACAGTTCTGAGATTACACAAGACAGTAATGTAATGCACAGTTTGGAATAACTTTCTTCATGAAACTTGAAGACTGTACCTTTTGGCTCAGTCTCATGCACTGCTGATGAAGATAGACTGCTCTCGCAGTTGATGGTGTCCTTATCTCTTAGGTAACCAAAATAATCCTGGCCTTCCATCGTGCGGAAGAGGCTGCCTTCACCAGCGGAGAGCAAGAACTCTTCGTCCAGTTCTGTACAGTCTTCCTGGAAGACCTTGTTCCATATTTAAATCGCTGTCTCCAAGTCCTTTTTCCACCAGCTCAGATAGCACAGACCTTAGGTAAGAGAAGGGGGATTTTTGAAACTATTCTGTTGATATAATTCATATACTAAGGAATTCACTCCTTGGTAAAGTTCAGTGTTTTCTTGTAAATGTACAGAGATGTGCCTTCATTTCCACTGTCCAATTTTAGAACATGTCCACCACCCCCAAAAGATTGCTCGTGCCCATTTGTAGTCATTCACCCATCCTGCTGCAGGCAACCACTAGTCTACTTTCTTTTGCTATAGGTTTGCCTTTTTGGGACATTTCATGTAAATGGAATGGTACAATATGTGCATATCTGGCTAAGTGGCAGAAGCTAGTCACAAAAGAGCCACAGGTTATATCATTTTATTTATATAAAATGTCCAGAGACAGTGTTTTACAAAGATATTTCCCAATTTGCCTTCATTTTCCTGTGCCCTCTGTCTTTGCAGAGGTTGGGTTGCAGTGGGGTGAGGAGGCACAACTTCCCAGAAGGCAGAGGGCAGCGCTCATACAACTCAGAGTGGCTGCTCCCCACTTCCTCCTAGCTTTTCCCTTCCTCTGTCACAGGAAGCCAGTGCCCACTGAGGTTCTCTTTGTGCCTTACACTGTGCTGATCAGGTTACCTTCCCAGCATTGATTTACAGTATAATTTCTTGTGCCATGTGACAAAGATGACCTTAACCTTATTCAAACGTGGTGATTGTGGCTGTTACTTTCTCTAATTTTTCCTTCTGTGACACATCAATATTGAAGCTTATTAAATGTTTTTTCCATTTAACTTTCCCTACCATCTGGGTCAGGCATTCCACCCACTCAGCTCTCCAAGTATGGAAACCTTGGCCACGTCAACATGAGCGTCGTCCAGGAGCCTCTCGCGTCTGTCCTGCCGAAGAGAGAGACGGTCTTCTGTCTAGATGAAAAGGAGGTGGTGCCTGAGCTCGCCGCGCCGGAACTCCCCACGGAGGAGCCAGGCCTCGACCCTGTCGCGCCGGCGCTCTCAGAGTGTGAGCAGCAGGAGGAATCAGCGGAGCCACAGCAGGCTCCCGAGCCTGGCGCAGACTCCTAAGAGGCCTCTGCCTGCACCGCCAGCCGGATGGAATGTCCTGCGCGAGGACACTCGGGCGCGGCCTGCGCTGCGGGCCCGGGAAGCTCGGGGCGGTGGGGGGCGGGGGGTGTCTGCGCCGGCAGGCACGAGAGGACAGTACAGGGGGAGCCCCCTGGTTGATCACACAGTAAGAAACGGAATTCAATAAAGCTGGTTGACTTCCCGGAGGCCAGCGGCGTCCTGTGGGCGGTGCCGGCGCTCCCGGAAGGCGCGGGGGACGCTGCTTCCCGGCGTCCCCGAGGGCGGGCGCTCGGCTACGGGGGCCGGGCGGGACGCGCGCGCCGGGCTCGCCATGGGCCGCCGGGGCGCCGGGCTGCTGCTGGGGGCGCTGCTGGCGCGGGCGCGCTGCGGCGTGCGGTCGGCGGCCATCGGCACCCGGGCCTGCAGCTCCGCGTCCGCGCCCGCCGGCCTGGAGGGCCCGGTGCGCCCGCGCTCCTACTGGCGCTACGTGCGGCGTCTGGTGCTGGGGGCGCCGGAGCCGCCGTACCAGCACGTGTGCCAGGTCGGGGACCCGGCGCTGCGGGTCGTGGCGGCCCCGGTGGAGCCGGCGCAGCTGGCGGGGCCCGAGCTGCAGCGGCTGGTGCAGCGGCTGGTGCAGGTGATGCGGCGCCGGCGCTGCGTGGGCCTGAGCGCGCCCCAGCTCGGGGTGCCGCTGCAGGTGCTGGCCCTGGAGTTCCCCGAGGCGCTGCTCCGCGCCTGCGCGCCGGCCCTGCGCGCGGCCCGCCAGATGGAGCCCTTTCCCCTGCGCGTGTTCGTGAACCCCAGTCTGCAGGTGCTGGACAGCCGCCTGGTCACCTTCCCCGAGGGCTGCGAGAGCGTCGCCGGCTTCCTGGCCTACGTGCCCCGCTACCAGGCCGTGCAGATCTCAGGTGCGGGGCGGCGGGGTCGGATTCCACGAGTTTCCGCAAAGCTGGCTGTGAAGGGGATGGTTTCTCAGCGGAGCCTCCGGCATGAACAAAGTAGGATCCGGGAGTGGGCAGAATTCAGTAGGGAAGGAGGCTCCTGTGGGAGCAGACCTAGCCCAAGCCCAAGCCGGAGGGAGGTCCTAGTTCCGCTGATACAGCCGATGCTCGGCGGTGGACCCCCCTCGTTTGCTCTGCGCCTCTAACGCGAGAGGGACGGACACACTCTCCCCTCGACCCCCAAGAAGGGTCAGAAGCCCATGGTATTCCCTTTATTTTATATCATGCCATGTTTAAATACTTTTAAGAATTGAAGGCAGGGGCCTCCCTGGTGGTCTAGGGGTTCAGTCTCAGCGCTGCCCTCTCTACAGCTTGAGTTCAGTCCAGGCCAGGGCGCTGACCCAAAGGGCGCAGCAGACCCCTCCTGTCTCGCCTGCGGCTCCCCTTAGCAGTGTATTTCAATAGATCTGCCAGTTCTGCTCCCCACCTTGTCTCTGGTGAATCCTCCCCCCATCCCAGTTCTTCTATGCAAAAATAAATAAAATCTTAAAAAAAAAAAAAGAATTGAAGGCAAACAGCAATACTTCCAAAGTGGGAGGCGTGTTCAGAAGAGAAGCCCCTCGGAAGATCACTTCATGTCTTAGCCCCCTAGGGAGCCCTGTAACCTGTCAGGGTAGGGAACCAGGCCCAACACTTGGCAATGGCCCCCGTTGAGGCAGCTTTTCTGGGAAGGATAGGGACTGTGGTCTATAGTCGGCTGGTCGACATTCCCCTCTGATGTTGCCTCTTACAAATAAGGAAGTTAGGGTAGGAGGCGGGGAAGGGATAAGGAGTTGAGAGTGATGTGGTTTAGCGCGGCCTTACCCGGTCTGTAACTTTCTTTGCAGGGCTGGACCCTAGAGGCGAGCAGGTGGTGTGGCAAGCCAGCGGGTGGGCAGCCCGCATCATCCAGCACGAGATGGACCACTTGCAGGGCTGCCTGTTCATCGACAAAATGGACAGCAAGACCTTTACAAACATCCACTGGATGGAGGTGAATGACTAACACTTTCCTGCTGCATCTGAGGATTCTGGAAACTAAGATGCTTCGACTTTGAGCTGGGTATATCTTACTTGGCAACAACTTAGCATTCGCTCAGCTGACAGAAATTTGTGCACTACCAAAGCCAGCCAGACCAGGTCGGAAGGTGTTTGAAATGTTTAACCTAAAATGAACTGTAGGCAAAATATTGCCTTCAATTTGAGAAGAAAATGCTCTGCTAAAGGAGTGGACACTTTCTGATGATAACCCCACTTAGTAGACATAATTTCAGAAGACATGTCATCTATTCTCAAAGCCGAGATTTGATGATAATGTCGTCACCAAATATCTGAAAGCTGTGTTTGAAAATGTTAAGGTTAAAGCTGTGTTTGACCATCTTCTGAGTGTTATTTTTATAAAGGGCTTGTGCGTGACTTACCTGTGGGGTCCTTTTTTGCCTGGGATACCAGTTTGCTTGTGGAAGGGGCCTCCCTGGTGGTGCAGGGGTTAAAGACAGCACTGTCGAGCTGTTGCCAGCCACTGCAGCATGAGTTTGATCCCCAGTTGGCCAGGGAGCTGACCCATATGGCGCGGCAGACCTCTCCTGTCTCACCCGCTGCTCCCCTCAGCAGTGTATTTCAGTAGATCTGCCTGTTCTGCTCCCCAGCTCTGTATTTGGTGAATCCTGTCTCCTCCCTCGCACCTCTGGCCTGCACCCAAGTTCTTGTATGCATAAATAAGTAAATCTTTAAAAAAAAAAAAAACAGAATTGCCCCAGTTCACGGCAGTGTTTAATGGCATTAATGTAAGTGAATACCCACACATTTTAACATTTTGCCATCCACCTTTAAGAGACATGGGGAGATTTTCCTGCTGAGAACTTTTGGACAAGTGGTACTTGGCTCCTCCTTTGGACGGAGGCCATGGAGCAGGAGGGGTGATAGTTGAGAGAGAGCAGTGAGTCTCTGCCTGTCACAATTAGAAAGCAGCCACATGTGCTTCCTGGTCACCATACTAATTTTGGGAAAATTAATTAGCATTTTGCTATCAGTATTTACCCTTAAGACACTGTCAGAGCGGTATCAAGAGGTGAAGGAACTTGTTTCTTTGGTACTTGTCCTCAGCTTGTCTAAGTTTTTAACACATGTACTCTTTCCAGAGTCCTCAAAATTAAACTCATTCCCCAAATTTTAAAACTCATTTCCATGAAATAAGAAACCCATTAAGAGAAAAAGTGTTTTAAACAGACCCAGGAGAGACCCACTATGCTGTATGGCTTTCTTTAGACAAGTCCAGGGGCCTGGAAGGCCAAGCAAAAGTGAGCTGGTTCTCCATGCATTAAACTTGGCCACTGGGGAAGCATGTAGAAACTTTTATCCTGAAAACAGGGATCCTTATGGAAGTTAGAATTCAGTGTTCCTTCTTCCCCATGGACAATGTGCAGAAGTGCCTGCAGGGTGGCACCAGAACTCCCTGATGTGACCTTACAGTACACAGGTTGAGTCCTTAGTAACACCTCTGTAATGCAGATCAGCAGTGTCTGCTTGCTGCTTCCTGGCCCTGTGGCCCAAGAATAAATGACTGCTCAGCGTGGACCTCAGAAAGCCTGGAGACTACAAACATCCACTTTATGTTGACCATCTTCCCAGCGTTCTTATTTTTATAAACGGCTCGTGCGTGACTTACCTGTGGAGTCCTTTTTTGCCTGGTATCCCAGGCAAAACATTGCTGACGGGATATGAGATTTGGCTATAACCAAATCCACATCAGGAAGGACACCATCAACTAGCTCAAGACAATACAGCCCAAAGGCCACCGATCCTTGCATTTCCAATACAGAAAACCTCTTCCATCTCAGGCCGGGACCAGCCACAAAAATTACACGCACAAATAGCATCTTCAGCATGTGAAAGAAACCAATTTCCAATGAAAGCCAATGTGGGCAGGCTTTCCAGGTGGGGAAGAAATGAATTTAAGAATCTGCACACAGAGGAGGCCATGCCTCTGCCTGTATGAGCTCTGCTTCAGGTGGTAAGGCCAGAGCGTCAGCCTGAGGTTGGTTCAGCCTCCTTATGAACAGCACATTCACTGGTGGGGAAGTGAGAGGGAGGAAAAGCAGGGCGCCTGTGGGAACTGCAATGAGAGCTGAGGATAAACCCCAGTAGCAATAAAATTTCTGTTAACCACTGTGACTTGTCAAGGTCTTTAAATGGTAGAAATGAGGTTAAATAAAGGCTCTTTGATTCAAGTTAAGCTAACAATATAGAATGAAAAAAAAAAAAAAAAAACAACACCCAACTAGCTAAAATGAAGCAGTACCAGCAGGGGGCTAGAACTACAGGGGAACTCCAGAGTTAAGTGCCAACTGATGCTCCAGGTAAGGAGAGGGGGGCTAAGCCCTCCAGCAATGGAGGGCAGCACAGGGCCCTAGCCTTCAAAGCGCCAATTGAAAACTGACCCAATTCAGCAGCTACTCTTAACTGGATCAAAGAAACACAGTGCAAGGCTATCATGAGCTAAGAGCTGGCCATGTGATTCCTTCTGTACCTGTTAGGTTTTAAAGACAGAAGCACAAGTCTGGTTTTTGAAAGGGTAGGGAAAGCTTAATGACTCTATGCCAGGCCTCTTCCCAGCATCTCAAGGCTGCCAGCTCAGGAGTCACAGTTCAAATGGCCATTGGGGCTGGGCAGTGGAACAGTCCCTATGGGCACTGGAGCTGGAGAGCGTGTTACCCTCTGAACAGGGCAGCCGCGGCTCAGCTGCTGCTGGCAGGCTGCTTCCTGGGGAGCAGATCCAGTGTTACCTAATCTTCCAAGAAGACAGATCTGAATGTTTACATCAACTCTTGAATTTTAAGTGTTGGCAGCATATGAAACGAAACAGCTGCAGGCCATGTCAGGCATGGAGGCCTCCCAGGTTGCAGCTCTTATCTGAGGCTGGAGAACAGGAAGAACTGCCCAGGTCCTTTAGACACCCTTAGCCACACTTTTCTTCTTAGGGAAGAAAGGTCTCGTGTACCTGACTGGGCAACAGGCAGTTAGTGACATTCCTACTTGCTTCCTACAATGAAGAGATGAGAGAAAACCAAAGGGTCCCTATCAGAAGCCAGAGTGGCCTGCAAAGAGGCACAGACAGAAGTCAAAGACGAGATCACTCAGATGGCTCAAGGAGGGAAAGGATTTATTGGCCCATTTCCAGGGCAGGGACCCAGGGCAGTGCTGGGTTTAGTATGCTCACATTCCAAGGGAAGAAAAGGCAGCAGTGAGAGCCACCTGGCTGCCTTCACTCATTCTGACTACACGGCTCTGTGCCTACAAGGACCCGCCTCTCCTGCGGGGAGAACACGGGGCCCTGGAAGCCAACCCAGGAGGGCAAGAATGGCTTGGCTTCACTCTCAGCCTCTGCAGACAGAGTGTAGGCTGAAAACCCAGGGCATCAGCCATTTTGTCCACAAGGAGCAATGCTTGGGTCTAGAAGGAATGGGCGGTGGGGCCCGGCAGGCCATTCTGGTTTGTGCACCAACCCCGCTGCACGGGCTGCTCCCACTCCTTGACGCTTCTGGGCGATTTTAACTTTATTTATAAACAAGACAAAACATCCATCCAAGCAGCATTAATTTAGGGGAACAAAAAAAGGTCTAAAAAAAAAAAAAATACCATGGAGGGGCAGGACAAGGAGTTGGTGACCATCCAGAAAAGGAGGAAGAGCCAGAATTCCACCAGATGCCAAATGTGCTTACACGTCTCTCGGCCAGAGAGGCCCTTCCTTCCAGCTCCCCAGCTGGCGGCCCAACACGGAGGGGACTTTGCTCTGACTTCAGAACGAATCCTGGAGCCCTGTCTGGCCACCGATGTGAGGAGTGCTGTGGATTGACCCCCACCGACAGCCCACCTTCACTGTCACCCGAGTGAAGATGCTTTTAACTCTCCTGCCCAAAGTCCTCTGAGAATTTCTTCACTTTCAGAAGGTCATCTGCATTCACGGTGGGCCGGGTGGTGGCCAAGGACCGGAGCATGTCCGACTGCAAAGACCAAAGACAAGCACACCCAGCTGAGGAGGATCTGGATGCCAGTCCTCAGCCTCTCACGTAGCAGGCCCACCACGTCTAGGGTGGGAGGAGGCTTGCCCCCTGGCTCCTTAGCCCCAGTGCATGCCTGGCTCCCTAGCCCCTCAGCTGCCTGGCGTCTGCCTGAACGCCCCATGACAGGCACTCTCTTTCCAGACTCGGCTTCCATCATCTCTTAGTCCCCGAGCAGCTCATCCTAACCCTGCCCACTACAGCAGCCTCAGCGGCAGACACCAGCCACTCAGGATGGACAAGACCATAAGGAGTGGTCAAGAATAGTTGGGAGAGGGACTGCTATGCAACTGCATCAAATCAAATCCCCATGTTCATGCTGCAGACAGTGAATGGTTCCTTCTGTGTGTAGACAAGCCAACCCCAGAGAACGGTGGAGCCACAGTATCCAGCTTTTACTCTTGCTGAAGTGGATAGAATGAATGCTGCAGCCTCCATCCTGGACCCCCACTGCACGTAATGACAGGAGCCCTAGCTGCCCAGAGCCCCAAAGGCCCTTCTCTGTCTTTATGAGGAGCCACAATAGTCCGGAACAGAGAAGGGGAGGAGCCTATTTGTGCTCTTGCCAAGTCCCACATTTTCTCAGCTCTCTTCAGACCCCTTTCCCAACTGGCCACTTACCATGCAAACCACAGGCTCTAAGAGTTTGTCACCGGGGACATCCATCCAAGTCATCTCTATGGCACCTGGGTCCCCTGGTGAGCATGGGGTCAGGAGGTCATCGATCGTAACGCTAGGGTTGGTGCGGGAAGGGCCACAGACCTGAAACCAAACAGGAGTTGACTGGAAGGTGGGCTGCTCCTGGATGTTTGGGGGAGGGGCAGGACACTCCAGCTTTCTCAGTCCTGAAGAGGTGATGTAGGCTGTGAGCCAATGCCTCTCCTTATTACCTCCACCAGATCTCACCCCGAGGAAGTCAGGGATTTCAAGACGTACTTCCCACTGAAGTCTGTTCCACGGGAAACATTTCCCTTTCATCCCCAAAAGACTCCTTCCATCACCTCTTCTAACTTGTGACTCAAATGTCATTCCATATGAGCTGTCATTTAAGTGTGCCAGGCCATCTGCTTGAACTTTCCTCACCACCCCTAAGAAATGCATCTTGATTTTTTTAAAAAAAGATTTATTTTTATTTATTTATGCATACAAGAGGTGCAGGATGGTTGAGAGGATTCACCAGACAGAGTGGGGAGCAGAACAGGTGGATCTACTGAAATATACTACTGAGGGGAGCAGCGGGTGAAACAGGAGAGGTCTGTTGCGCCATGTGGGTCAGCTCCCTGGCTGGGGATTGAACTCGTGCTGCAGTGGCTGCTGATATTCATAGTGCTGAGACTTAACCCCTTGAGCCACCAGGGAGGCCCTGCATCTTGATTTTGTTTGCTGTTTATCTCCCTCACTAAATAGGAGGCCCCGGGAGAGCAGGAATTTTTGTGTATGGTCACAAACGTCTCCCCGGCATGGAGAACAGTGTCAGGCACATAGTAGGACCCACAGCAGGTACTTGACAAAAGTCTGCTGCATGAACATGAGTTTCCCTTCACAGTCTGTGGTTTTACCCCCAACATTTCCAAGAACTTCACGAGGTCCATATGCACAATGGTGCAGCGCCCACTGGAGGCAGCAAGAGGGACAGCATGTGCCCTGTCCTCCCACACCACCTGACACGGCCACACTTAAGCAAGAAGGCAGGGAAGAGGAGAGCAGGTGCCCAAAGCCAGAGGGCTCACTTTGCATTATTTGTCTCTGCTCCTCTGGGAGACTTGAAATGTGTCACTGCTAGGGCGGGTGTCCAGCTCCCAGCCCCACTTGTCCCCTTCACAGGCTCGTCAAGAACCTGTTAGAGCTGGCCAGGCAGCACAAGCCCTCCATCATCTTCATCGACGAGGTGCACTCCCTCTCTGCCAGGAAGCTGGCAAAGAAAGCTGCTACCCTTTCTGTGACACTTTCTAAGCAATTCCCTGCTGGCCCATTCACCTTTTTGAAGTGTGTTGCTGACTGCACTTTTCTGACAGGCTGCATTAGGGAGTCCCGCACGATGATGCTGATGTCTGCACCTGAGTAGCCTTCTGTCTTCCGGGCCAGCTCGTGGATGTTGGCATCTGTCAGGTTGTGGGGGGTGCTCCCCAGATGCAACCGGAACATCTGGGCACGGGCAGCTTCCTCTGGCAGTGGGATGTAAATCCGCTTTTCGAACCTAGAGAGCCAAGCACAGGGCAGGGCCTGAGAGCAGATGACAAAATGGTCTTAATGCAGAAGGAAAGCAGGGACCCCCAGAAACTGGCTTCACTAAGGTTCTGCTCAACACGCAGACACAGAGAAGCCTCCAGAGAAAGGGGGTGAGGCTGACTGCCAGCAGCAGGTTGATGATGGCTGGAGAAAGACCTTAGCCCCCGCTCCTGTGGGAAAGACTCACCTCCTTCTAATGGCTGAATCCAACACCCATGGGATGTTTGTGGCACCAAGAACCAGAGTCCCATCGTTGTTGTTCCCCACCCCTGTGGAGAAAGGAAGGTACAGGCCCTGACTCTGAGAACACCTGCCAGGGCCAGGCAGAGCTTGTGAGGAAAGGCCTCAGGGCTCCCCAGGGGTGAAGAGCTGCACAACAGCAGAGAGGCAGGTAGAGGCCTCAGGAACCTCTCTGCAATGAAGGTCTGAGGAGAGGAAGCTGCTCTGAGGGTTTCCCTCTACCCTAAGGACAATCAACACCAGTTGGCCCCAGGCTGGCTTTGGGCAGAGCATGAAGCAGGGAGGGGGCCGGGACCAACACACACCTTGCATCTGGACTAAAAACTCCGTTTTGATCCTGCGGGCCGCCTCGCTCTCGTTTTCATTGCGGGACCCACAGAGGGAATCCACCTCGTCGATGAAGATGATGGAGGGCTTGTGCTGCCTGGCCAGTTCAAACAGGTTCTTGACGAGCCTGTGAAAAGGACAAGCGGGGCTGGGAGCTGGACACCCACACAAAAGCCCGGCCAGGGACCCAGTTCCCTCCCAAGAGGAGGCCAAGCCCACAGGTATGCTTAGATTTCAGAGAAAAAAGAGAGTAACCAGTCCTTTGGCAGCACTGTACCAAGAGGAAGAGCAAGCCTTGGTATCAGCTTCCACACCCGCGGCCGCCTGCATTAGCTCTGTGCTTAGGACAGGTGCCTTCCCTTCCTCTCAGCCCCAGCACCATCATCTGTGGAGCGGGAGTCTCTGAGGGGAGTAAGTTACTACATAAGTCCCAGAGGGGTGCACCTCATACCCAGCAACTGTGAGTGCCTTGCCCTTCCAGTCTGGAGGACTCCTCTCTCCCAAGTTCCAGCTGTTGGGACAGTGTCTACCCAGTGAGTTAGTGAGACATTCCTCCCCGGGCTGCTTATCCCTGCCTCCACCGGCAGCTTCTGGGAAGAGACTCCCGGGGCAGGGCAGCTGGCCCCCGAGCCGTGCAGAGGCAGGGCCTAGCGGCTCACTTACTTCTCGCTCTCCCCCAGCCACTTGGACATCAAGTCTGAGGAGGACACAGAGAAGAAGGTGGAGTTGTTGGCCTCAGTGGCCACTGCTTTGGCCAGGTAGGACTTCCCTGTGCCAGGGGGTCCAAAAAGCAGTATTCCTCGCCAAGGGGTACGCTTGCCTGCAAGAAAAAAATAAAATAAAGTGAGCTTCTTCCTGGCTCAGGAAAGGGAACAGAAAATAAGCAGAGGGGCCTTGGTCAGTGGAAGCAGAGTTTCACAAGACAAATTCTAGGTGCAGAGGAAACTCAATGACCTGCAATAGCTTGGTCCTAGCCCTTGCTCATGGCCCCTGAGACCTTGCAAAATGACACTGGCTGGCACGGGTTCCTCTCCCTGCCCACCCATTGGGACAGACTGGTCAAAGTTCTAATCACAAAGACCTTTAACAACAGAGAGAAGCCAAAGAGTAGGATGTATAGGCCCTGGGCCTCTTCTGACAGAACGTGTGAGAGGGCGGGGTCCTCACCCTTTAAGGGCAAAGAAGTCAAGTCACCACCTGCTCCCAGACACCTTCAGAGTAGGGTCGTGAGCTGGCTCACTCAGAAGCCTGATATTTTTACATTTGGGCCTAATGTGGCTCCACTCTTACCTGTGAACAAGTGTGGGAATTTAATTGGCAAAATGACAGCTTCTTTGAGGGCCTCCTTGGCCCCTTCCAGCCCGGCCACATCATTCCACCGAATGTTGGGCTTCTCCATCACCACGGCCCCTGCGAGAGGAGGGCAGAGCCTGGGACCCACCACCAAGCCACAGAGCCTGAGCCCACCCACCAGGCCACGTGCCCCTCCCACCGCCACAGCGTGAGCCTCTTACCCATCAGTTGTTCTTGCAATTTCTTTTTCTCTGGATTATCCCCTTCACTGTCACTATCGCTGCTAGGAAAAGAGACAAAGAGGACAAGTTGGAGCAAGAGGCAGTAGGCAAGGAGGCTCTGACTGCCCATGGTGATAAAGGGAGGTGCTCCCACAGCCATCTCTTCCCAAACATCTGCCATCCTCAAGTCTTCTAGGGCCTCTTCCCCCTTTCTTGGGAGAGTATCTTCTCTACCCAGGAGCAGAGCCTCTCTCCACTGGTGAGGCAGCTGGCACCACCTCTATCAAACTCCCTCACTCCTGCCTGGCACCACCCCCTCACTTCCAGGACACCAGTGGTCTTTGTGGTCAACTAACTGGCGTCTCCATGGTGGGGAAACCACAGATGTGAGCTGAGAGGCTCCAGAGGGAACACTGGCTTTGGAGTCTGGAGGAGAGGCCCCAAATGAGGGTGCAGACTCCCATCAAATGCCAGCTCTGAGCGCTGAGTCTGTCTCCTCACCCAGCTGGATGAAGATGGGATTATGAAACTGCTGTAAACTGCCTACTGTGTGCTCAGTTCTATGATAGGCTGTACCAGCATCATCTCATGTGCTCCGCAGGGTACCACTAGGAGTAAAGTCCTATGAAGGGCTCCCTTCTACAGATGAGAAGTCTGGAGCTATAGGAGTTCCTGGTACTTGTCCAAGATCATATGGCCAGGAAGTGCAGAGCCTGGCTGTACCAAGAGGCTGCCTGCAGAGTCTAAAGCTTGTAACTACTATGCTGGCCGCCCATCCTGCCCACGACTCTTCTGCACAGATCTGTGTTGTTACACATGCGAGAATTCAATAACATGCTTAACGAAAGTAGCTGCGGCACTGTGAGTAAGATGAGCAGAATCCCCCAAAAGAAAGGTACCAGAAGTCCAAAGGAGGCATTAGCAACAAGAATGACAGCACCACAGGCAAGGGTGCGACCACGGGGGGGGGGGGCTCTGGTACTGGCGGCCCTCTTCTCCTTCATACTCACCCCTTGCTCTCACTCTGATTTTCTTTGACTGGCTTCTTGCCGTGCTTCTCTTTGTTTCGTAAATAATCCTTCAGCTTCTCCGCCCTATCTAGGTACTGCATGCACTTGGCTCGAATGCTCTCCTTGGCCTTATCGCTGTGTGCCTCATCTGTGCAAAGGGAACCAGAGAGGGGGGGTCCCTGAGCCCCCGTTTGTCCTCGTCAGAGGGGCTCTGAGACCAGGGAGGACCTGCCTGTGACTCACATTTGATAGCGTGGAGGAAATACTCCACGGCATGCTGGTAGAGTCGGAGCGCCTCCTCGTAGTTCTTGGCTTTATCCTCTTCTGTGGCTTTCGTCACCAGATCAATGGCTTTCTGGAAAGGCGAAAGCAAATAACTCAGTGCTTCAAAGAGATCCAGCAAGTCTTTAGGATCAGAGGCAGCAGGAATACACTGATGAGAGGTACTGCCAGACCCATGATCAGTTGGTTGCAGACCAGTCGATTGGCCTACTTATCTAACCTCAACCAGCACAGCCTTAAACAGAAGCTTTAAAAGCTGGCATCCCTCTTCACAATATGCTCATCCAGTTGAAAGCAACCTCCTTCTCAGTCCTTGCTCTGGATGGATTTCAGCAAGTGGAAACCTGATAAAATATCTCAGGTTAGAGCTCAAAGGGAGAGTTCACTTTCTAGTCCCTGGCCTCAAGGGAAAGAGAAATGGAGCTGAATTGAGAGGCTGGGACAGGGGAAATACCAAAACTGACTGATTGCTGGAGCTCAGCCTGAAGGCCAGAAACTACACTGCCAGCCTCTCTCGGTTTTCTTCAAGTTCTATCTAGGGAATGCACCTCGAACACAAGGTTCAATACGCCAGAAGCTCCAGTAAGAAAAGTGCCTGCATACTCCCAAGGCATACATGTGCTGCCAACTGTCAGGATTCATCCTAACAGTTTAACCTTCTAAGAAGTCCATGGGAGTATCTCTGGGAATCTATCAAAGCCAGTGGTCCTGTGCTCTAGACTGACTTAAGAGTGTGCTGGAGGGCCTCCCTGGTGGCGCAACGGGTTAAGCACTACACTATGAAGCAGATTGCAGCCTCTGCAGCACGAGTTCAATCCCCGGCGGGCCAGGAAGCAGCCCACATGGCGCTGCAGACCTCTCCTGACTCGCTCAGCAGTATATTTTGGTCAGTCTGCCTGTTCTTTTCCCCACTCTGTGTCTGGTGAATCCTCTCGCCCCCCGCATCTTTGGCCTGTCCCCGGTTCTTGTATGTATAAATAAATAAATCTTAAAAAAAAAAAAAAAAGAGTGTGCTACAGCTTTCAGGCAGCTGGCCCACAACTACACGTCTAGCTTTAAAAATTACAGCTTCACAAACCTAGGAAGCATTACCAGAGTGATCCTCCTCAATCTGATCCTGCACTAGACACAGGCAGGCAGAGCCCACTGTATGTACACAGTTCCGTCCACAGCAAACAATAAGCCTCCTGACCAATTCTTGGCAGGGCCCCGGCATTTGTCAGCCCTTCCTCATCTGAAAGCAAGAAGTCACAGAAAAACAGGCACAGCTAGCTTTACAAACTAAAAAAGTTAGGCCAGGTTGATGTTATTAAACTCACCAGGTCGAAGAGATGAGGAAGGTATGAGTGTTGGCTATTTTCAAGCTTCAGCACCCCCCACTACCTACAAATAAAAAATGGCTAGGCGCCCTGAATCTTCTGGATTAGCTTCAACATGAGCTTCACTTGTCCACTCTGTCCCCCAAGACAGCCCGTCAGGTAAGGCATGAAAGGGCGCTCCTCGCCCTCATGTCTTCTCTTCTCCAGAACAAATCCTAGGACTATTTTGTTTATTTGCCTTGTTTGGGTCCAGCCTTTTGGAAGGTGGGGCTCAGAACAGCACATCTCCAGGTGTGCCTGGCCCCCTGTGGTGGAGTAGGCCCATTCCTTTCCTGATGCTCTATTAATTAATGCATGTAAAAAGCACATTCAGTATTTCTAGCAATCACATATAGTTCTTCACACATAAGAGGTCTTAGTTCCAATGTGGAGAGAACAGTTTTGCTTAACAGGAATTAAGGTGACAAATAAAACTGCCAGACCTGCCACATCTGTAGTAACGCATACAAAAGGATGTATGAAAAGGGTGAGCGGGCAAACTCTTCATACAGGACAGTAAATATTTTAGACTTTGCCAGCTGCACAATCTGTACACTGGCTGTAGCAGCTATTCAATTCTGCCTATGGTAACCCCAAAGCAGCCACAGAGAATGCATATAAATGAATGAGCAGGGATGCGTTCCAACAAAATGCTATAGAAATGAAATGTGAAATTTCTGATTTTCATGTGTTACAAAATATCGCAGCCCCAGCCATTTAAAAATGGAAAACCTCACAATTATTATGTTAACTGAAAGCAGCAAAGTCACAAAGGACCATGTATTGTAGGATTCCATTTCTATAAAATGTTCAGAATAGGCAAATCCATACCTCAGAAAGTAGATTAGTGGTCGTTGAGGACTGGGAGGGATGGAGGGATAGGGGGTGGGGTGGGGAAGAAGAGACTAAGAGAGGACAAAGGGTACAGGGTTTCTTTGGGGGTGATGAAAACGCTCTAAAATTGACTGTGGTGGTGGTTGCACCATTTTGATAATACACTAAAAGCACTGAATTGCGCCCTTTAAATGGATGAACTAGGGCCTCCCCAGTGGCGCAGCGGGTTGAGCGCAGTGCTGTGAAGCTGTCTGCAGCCTCTGCAGCGCAGGTTCCACGACCCGCAGCCAGCCAGGGAGATACCCACAAGGTGCGGCCGACAAGGGAGATACCCACATGGCACAGCAGACCTCTCCTGTCTCGCCCACTGCTCCCCTCTGCAGTGTTTTCGGTCTATCTGCCTGTTCTGCTCCCCTCTCTGGTGAATTCTCTCACCCTCTCGCACCTCTGGTCTGTACCCCAGTTCTTGTATAAATAAATAAAATAAATCTTTAAAACCAAATAAATAAATGAACTATAAGCTATGTGAGTCTCAGCTTCGTAAATTTGTGCTGTATTTTCACTTTCTTTTTAATATAAGAAACATTCTTAGCTCACAGGTCTTACAGCAACCGTCAGGGCAGGTGGATCTGCGGTCATGTTTGCCCCCCGCGTGATAAGACAACAGACCTTCTGCTAGTGGATGGTGAGGTCTGCCTTTGCACTGCAGTTAATTCCCAGCCAAGTACCCCAATTTACTCCCGGCCTCTGTTCTCAGGTTTCCCTCCACCGGGATGGAGTAACCACCCGCCTTCAGGTATCTGAAAGCGACCGGTCCTTTGAGGATCCGGCCACCTGTCCCTCAGACGCGGCTCCCCACACCCCCTGCTGAGCACTCTGCAAAGACTGTGCGAAGGACGCTTTACCTGCACCGCCCGGCCTGCAGCCACGGTCACAACAATGCTCCCGAGCGCCGCCCCCCATGTGGAACCCGAGGTTCCGAGACCAAGCACTGGCCAAGGTCACAGGTCGCGATGCCAGAGTCCAGACGGCAGCCAGGCCTGAGGCCCGAGCAGTTCTCCGGACCGCAGGACCCGCAGCCCCTGCAGGCGGGGGCCGTCGGGCCAGCGGGCGGCGCCACCCCAGCGCCCCCCTGCCCGGCCGCGGGAATGAATGGGGGGCAGGGGCCGCGCCGAGGCGGCGGGAGACGGCGGGAGGCCGGGGCGGGAGGCAGCGGCCCGGCCGCGGGCAGGCGCTTCCCCGGGCGGCGCCGGTGCGGCCCGGCTGAGGCGGGTCCTGCCGGCGGTACCGGGGGCCCCAGGGCACCCCTCGGGCTCGGCGTCCGGGGAAGCGGGGCGGCCCCGGCTGCGAGGGCGTGAGACGGAGCCGCGCGGGGGCGGCGGGCGGCGGGGCCCGAGGCCGGGCTCGGAGGAGGCCGCCCGCCCGGTGCCGGCCGCAGGCCCCGCCGCCCCCGCTCCGGCCGCCGCCCGCCGAGGCCCGGCCGCGCCGCGTACCTGGAGGGTTGACGTTGTCATTTCATCTCCTGGGTCCGCCCCTCGCCCGCGGCGCTGCTGGCGGCCTCGCTGCAGCCCCGGAGCCGCGGCGCGGGGTCGGCGCGGGAGCGGCGGGTCGGCGCTCGGGGCGGGCAGGGCGGCCGCTCGCAACCGGAGCCGCGTCCCGGGCGAGCGAGGAGCGCGGGCCAGAGCGGCCGGGCCCGGCGCGCGCGGCTGCCCCCAGGCGGCCACGGCCGGCACTGCAGGGGCGGGGCCCGGGGGGCGCGGGCGGGCTGAGTGTGCAGGGGCGGGGCCGGCCGGCCGGGGAGTCCCGGGTGCGGGGCGGGACGCGGGTGCCACGGAGACGAGGCGGCTTCCGCTAGTCCAGGGCCCCCCTCGGGAAAAGAGAGGCTGCAGGGCAGTTTTACTCGCGCGGTAAACCTAACCTCCCAGATTTTTAATCTGCTGTGCTTACTAGGGCACAGCAATAATTAGCATCTACCGAAGCTGGCTTTTGGGGGCAGTGAATGAGTTGGCTAATATGAACACTCTGGCGGGGGGGGGGGCGCTCTGGTTATTATCATGCTGTAGACTGGCTAAAGCCAGTTTTGCTTTTAAAAATTAACCCTTTTTTTTTTTTTAGAAAAATGGTTTTATTCAACCTCCAAATTTGGGGCCTTTACCCAGGTGAACTTCAGCATTGCAGATTGGTTTACATTCATTTATTTTAACAACATTTACGAAGTATGCACTGTGTGCCAGGCTCATAGTGACTGGTGGAATAGTGAAGGTGGAATATAATGAAGATGGAGATAGGGCCTTCGGGATGGACTAGGGGTGAAGGTGGAATATAATGAAGATGGAGATAGGGCCTTCGGGATGGACTAGGGGTGAAGTTTCAGTGCTATCACCACCATGGAGCTAACCCACATGTGGCACAGCAGACCTCTCCCGTCTGGGCTGCTGATTCCCTTAGCAGTGTAACTCAGTACATCAGCCTGTTCTGCTCCCTACTCTATCTCTGGTGAATCCTCTCACCGCCGGCACCTCTGGCCTACACCGCAGCTCTTGTATGCATAAATAAAAATAAATCTTAAAAATAAAATAAAGATCAAGGGCCTCCCAGGTGGCGCAGCGGTTGAGCACTGGGTTGCGAAGCTGCCCATGGCCTCTGCAACTCCAGTTCGATACCCGGCTGCCCCCCGGCCACCAGAGGAGGGTCCCACATGGCGTGCAGACCTCTCCTGCCGCCCGCTGCTCCCCTCAGCAGTGTACTTTGGTCCTTCTGCCTGCTCTGCTCCCTGCTCTGGCTCTGGTGAATTCTCTCACCCTCCCGCGCTTCTGACTGTACCCAGTGCATGTATAAACAAACAAACAAACAAACAAATAAATAACATGCCTCTAAAAAAAAAAAATAAAGATCAAGACAGCTCTGGAGAGCCTAAAGTCTGAGGAGAAAGATGAATCAGGAAGCAATAAGCATGTATGAAGGCCCATATGCTGTGTGAGCGCCTAATGGTCAACATGCCAAAGGCAGGGGATGGCTCCCATTTAAGTGGAGGCTTAGGGATAAGAGGGAAAGAGTCCTTGGCTGGGCAGTGGTGTTGCCATTGCTGGGGTGAGGGCATAAGTTAGAAGGGAAAGGGGCCCGGGCAGGCACCTGGGGCTTGATGATTTTGCAGCAGATCAACAACTTCATGTTCTAATCTTGTCACTTGAGCAGAAATCAGGTTCTCAGCTCCCACACTTTAGGCAGAAAATCCGTGATGTTCAATGGCACAATTCTTTGTTCTTTCTCATACAGCACTTGTCTAGATTGGAATCAACAATAAAAAATGGAGTCCTGATGTTTCCTTATGATCCTGAGAAACAATATCCCTTTCCCCTCCTCTGTGTGACTCAGAGTGATCAAACTCAAATTGGGCCTCCCCGGTGGTGCCGCGGGTTGAGTGCCAAGCTGTGAAGCTGTCCGAAGGCTCTGCGGTGTGGGTTTGATTCCCGGCCAGCCAGGGTGATGCCCACATGGCGCGGCAGATCTCTTCTGCCTTGCACGCTGCTCCCCTCAGCAGTGCTTTTGGTCCGTCTGCCTGTTCTGCTCCCCCTCTGTCTCTGGTGAATCCTCTCACCCTCCCATGCCTCTGATCTGTAACCCAGTTCTTATATAAATAAATAAATCTTAAAAAAAAAAAAAAAACACAACACCTCAAATTGGTCCAGTGATTAAGCTCTCCATCACACAGAAAGTCGGTGGTGGAACTATTGATAGAAGATGTGTCTCTCAATCTGTTTAAAAATGGCACCAAAGGCTGGTGTCCATTCATCTACAAGTCTTTCCGGGGAGGAAAAATTGAGGGCAAAAAACACAGCAGAGGCTTGTTTGCATTTTCTCTTCCTTTCCAATCACACCTTAACCCCTGCCGAGATGTCAGTTGCCACCCCCCACCCCTACCAGAGGTGGGAGGGAAGGGATGTCCAGGGGTGAGGAGGGGGGCAGTGGTCTGAACGGTAGGATGTTATGTTAGTTACATTGAGTAAATGAGATTAGTAAATGTACTGAGTAATGGAACGCAGATTGCTGTCTGAGAAGGGATTACAAACAAGGGAAATGGAGATTTAGAATCTTCAAATTAGAAGCATCAGCATAACCCACAGTTTTTACATACACAGGCTAGAAATAGGTACTTATATATGTGTGTACACACCCACACACATTTTCCTAGCTCCAAGGCAATAAGCAAATCAAATATCCAGATCTTGGTCTCTAAATATCATCCTACACTACAAAAATCTCTTGCAGACATGGCTAATTGCAGGACCAGAGCAAGAAAAGTACAAAAGGAGCCTTTGTTGTGCCAGAATTCAGTGTCTGAAGAATGATGGTGACATAGTGAAGGACACAGTAACCAGTTTGAAAGACTCCCACTGGCCAGATTTGGGCAGTTTTAGCATCAAAATAAGTAAGCGTGGATTAAAACCCATTTAAGAAATTAGAATCCACAAGTCTTTAATATCAATCAATCAGTCCATGGGAGAGAAGGGAAGTTCACCTATGATAGAATACCAACTAATAAAGGCAAAAAAAAGTGATAATATTATCATAATTTGGCAATCATCCACAGCGGTAGATAATACATACAGGAGTTATCCATGGATGTTGGGGCTGGTTGGAGGAGATTTGATGATGAACACTGAGAATATTGGCAAAGTAACAGAACATCTCCTCACAAAAACACCAATAAAATGCAAAGGGAGAACAGGGTGTAGACACTAACTTGATAGGTGATTGAAGTCACTGCTGCTGGTGGTGGGACAGAGCAGCATCTGTGTCTTCCGACAATGAGTTCTGAGGACAAGGCATCGCTCCTGCCTGTACATCCCTGCCAAGAGCGCATGGCCTGACCTGGTCATGAGGTACATGGAACAGATCCAAGAGGAGGGATATGAGAATTAAGGCGAGGCTGAGGAACTAAACCAGACTGATGAGACATGAAAAGCAAACACAAGTCTGCACAGGATCCTGCGCCAGAAAAAAAGGAGATAAACTGTGACAACTGGTACCATCTGAACGAGGTCTGTAGACTGGGTGGCAGCCTGGCACCAGTGTTGTCTTCCTGACTGGGAAGGCTGCATGGTGGCAGCGCGGGAAGGTCTTTGTGTTTAGGAGGTACACACCAGAGAATTTTTTTTTTTTTTTTTTTATAGAGGCATGCTTTATTTATTTGTTTTGCTGGTTTGTTTGTTTTGTTTATACATGCACTGGGTACAGTCAGAAGCGCGGGAGGGTGAGAGAATTCACCAGAGCCAGAGCGGGGAGCAGAGCAGGCAGAAGGACCGAAGTACACTGCTGAGGGGAGCAGCGGGCGGCAGGAGAAGTCTGCACGCCATCACACCAGAGAATTTAAGGGAGACAGAGCATGGTAGAAAAACAAGAGGGCAATGGAATAGTAAAATGTTAACAATCAAGAAATTTGGGTGAAGGGGATGTAGTTCTTTGTACTGTTCTTTAAACTTTCCTATAAGCTTGAAACTATTTTAACATTAAAAAAAGAAAAAAATACAAGTCTAAAAGCCATTTTTTTTAATTTACAGTATAAAGGTTACAAAGGTATATATGTATTCATATATATATATATATATAATACCCTCAAGTTACAAATTTTCATTGTAATGTACAATGTTATATGTTGACATGCAACTCAAGGGGAAGTGTTGTCTATGCATATTTATAGAGTACACATAAAGCTTTTATATTAAGAACACAAACAAATACTGCCCTGTTTTACGCCGTAGGTTTTGATTTGGTGGTCTGGTGACGCCAGATTTGAGATTTACATTTAAAACAATACTTGAAGTCTTGTGTAAATATAAGGTTCTAAAAAGAAGAGAAAAGCAGAATCTCACAAACTTTTAGTTCTTTGTAAAAGTATTATTCTAGCTTTCTAAGTCTTAATACTTAACAAAAATTGAAACCTGTTCGGGAAAGAACATATACAAGTGGCTATCATCAGGGTTTGTAGAGATTAGCCAAAAAATAAGCCTTCCCAGGTAGTAGTTTGCCACAACATCTTCTAAAAGACCTTTGGTATGGAACCAAAAAGGAAACAGATTTTTTGGGTGTCAAGGTCTTATGCTGACCAACATAATGATCCAACAGATTATAAACATACTGGAGTAAGCAAGTCAGAAACTGGTTGTTATGACTTGCTCTAAGGTATAAAGGATATCACTGATGTGGATGACTGTGCCAAGCCCCAAACTTACTTTAAATCATTTCCTCTCCCTCAATTCTATTAACTCACAAACCATGAGAAAATGTAACTGACACTCACTTGAACAGGACTGAGATAGAAGGAAAGCGCTTTTTCCAATCTAGAAGAACAGACACTAGACAGTACTTATGTGCTGGTTCCAATAATATATCACCATTAGCACCAGATTGTCAAAGGGAAGGTTTACAGTAAAGACCAAGACACTGAGTGTATGACCTTATTGGTGTGCCAAGTTCCAGGACACCTGAAAACAAAGGGGAGGAGCCCTGTGATTATGCGCCACATGTTATTCCACTCATATGTAGCTAGGGGACTTTTGAGGCACAATACAGTAAGTTGCCTGAAAAGTTTACCCTCATGATTAATGGAAGGCAAACTGGACATAAAAGGACTGTTACTCTATGAAAACTGGGGGAAAATTCAGTCATCCCCTCTTACCTTCTTTAGGTGCTCTATTTACTGGGTTCGAATGCCAGAGTGTTTTAGAAGCAGCGGAATTCTGCTGAGTTTAAAATATTTTCATTTTGAGCAAACAAAATAGAGAAACACTCTGTGTACCATTGTAAGGACTTTCAACAAATGAGATGTTCAAAGGGTGTCAGTGTGGAAATAATTGAGTCAACACAATTTAAAAATAGGGGGGAGATGAAATACACATTTAGCTTTGCTGTTTACAGTTATGAGGTATTTCTTTAAAAAGACTTTCCCATTGATCCACTTTGAGCAACACAGCTTAATTTTTGTCATTGTTGCTATGATTTATCTTACCTAGGACATGTTCACCTCCCCAAAGAAAAGTCTAATTTTGCATCAGAAGAAGTAGGCATGATGAAAAGACCAACCTACTTAAACATAGTTGGAGTTCTTTCATATTGGCACAGTCCAAAGAATGAGCATCCTTTTAAATATTTTCCAGTTTGTTGGATGAACAGAACTGCAGATGTACTTTGGTAAAAATGTGAAGTGGTTAATTACTTCACCACCAGTAGATAAATAGATGGATGGCATGGTATGATTGGTAAAGAATGGGCTGTGTGCTACTTGAGGGCAGGAACTTTCTTCTGAACCTTTCAGATTGCCTGTACATTAATAAATGGTGATTAAATGAAAGAATACATGAATTAACATATCATTAATTAGCTTTGCAGTTTCATATATCCCCAGGTCCCCAAAGAACCTTTGCCTATTCTTCAGAGAGTTCTACTGCTTTGGAAGCATTGGTGTCATTACATGGAGGTAAGATGACTACAAAACCAAATAAGGTTCTTAGAGAACTCAGAAGTTAGAGACCTACCAGGGTTCTCACAATATAATGAAGTATCATTCTCTCACTTTCAGTTTCAACCCCTCTGCTCTGGGGCAATTCAAAGATGATAGTTAATACAGTAGATTTTTGCTGAACATAATCAAATCTTCATTGTAGAACAAGCAATCATTTGCAAATGGCCTATTTATGTAGATCCACTTTTAAAACTAGAATATGCTTTGGTCCAAGTCATCTGAAGTGGGAAGGAAGAATGAGGTGGCAAAAGATTAAGCTTAATTTTATCACTTCTGAAATGAAATCTTGTTAAAATATGTTTGCGAGTTAATCCAGGACAACCATTCTTCCAGTTGGCACTTTAACAACGACTGTCTAAGAGACTAGAAAACAGATGGGCTCCATGTGCCTATTTATTGTACCTTATTTTAATTTGAAATTCTATCTTTTCAAAAGATGAACCTGTATTGTTGATCTGCCAGATGTTTCTTCGAGAAACGGTTTTAAATCAGTCACTTAAAGAAGCCTATTACCAGTGTAAAATAAATTTCACTTAAAATCATTACACCACAGGTATAGTTATGTTGCTCAGAAATGCATGATCCTAGTATATGGCATACGTATTTCAGAAGTGCCTATCATTACACATTTACTGAGTTATCTGTGTACCCAGCATACTTTCACAAGTGAAAGATATGCTTTAAAAAAAGGAGGAAGAAGGAAGACTGGAGCTGTTTCAAAGACAGTATGTAGAGAGTCAAAATAATTCTAGTTTACCAAGCAATTAAAATAGGGACACACAGAGTATAGAAAATGGCAGATTGCTCTGCTTTCATCTTGAGGAAGGGAAAAAAGCTACTGTAATAATTCAAATTTAACTGAGATTTTCCAACTCAAGGCAGAATATAATACCACCTGGCACGTAATATATCTGGGAGAGATAAATAAAAAAGAATGATGATGACTACAGTCAAATTCAACCTAAAGTTTAAGCAGAATTCAAACATAAATAAGTCTCTTTTCCTTACATAGATATTCAGATTTTTTTTCAGATATTCAGATTTGACCAAATCAATATGCTTTAAGACCAAAGAGATCTTGTATTTTATTTCTTCATTATGGATTGAAAATAGAGAACCTTTGGCTTCCAACCAGCCATTTCATTCATATTCATGGCATTAATAATGGGTGGTAGCAACATGGAAATGTATGCTGGATATTTGGATAGTTTAAATATTATGTACAATCAATAGCTTATAACCAGTGAAAATAATAAGAACATAATTCAGCTTAAGTGTCCAAGATAAGATACAAAATAGCAGAGAAAGTGCTTAAGTCTACAGGTCTTCCCTGAAAGCTTCAAAAATGTGTAACTCTTTATGTAGGTAGGGCTTTTCATAGAATTTGCATAGCAGCTTACAAGATAATTTGCATTAAAAAAATATGGATAGAGTCTTTCATGTTTTTGAAGATATACAAATATATCCACATGCATATAAATTAAACAAGAAGACCTGGAAGTTCTCATAAAATTAATAAAAATTCCATCATAATCTTTTCTCAAAAGTGGTCATACTTTTGTTCATCAAAACCATTTACAGTGAAACCTGTTTTTCTGGGAGAAACCTAATCTTGTCCAGATTCCACACAGCTCAAATTTTTTTTAAAGAATAAGTTTTGGTTTATTAGCTAATAAGTGCATTTAATCGACTGAAAAAAAGCTTTATTACCATTCTGCTTAGAAGGATAAGTTAAGAAAACTAATAATCAATAATCAGTGTAATCATGTTGGTTAGAGAGATTTTTTCATTTATAAAAATATAAGAAATAAATAATTTAATCTCTCCTGCCATGCAATAATTTTCAGTAACAAAGTTTGTAGGAGTACAGATGTAAAAACAGGCACTATCAGACTTTATCAAGCCTAAAAAGTGCTAAAAACATGGCTTTAAAATGGGTGAATGACGCTTAAAGCAATATTTTTGATTGCTTGTACATGCCCAGTACTTAAACTGAAAGTCTTGTCTACTAAGTAGGTGAGTTTATGGTTACAACTATCTAATAAATACTGTATAGACATACATTAATGCATTTCTTCATATAAAATATTAGGTAACTAGTTTCCAGGTAAGATTCATTTGATGACTTAAGGAAAGGACTTACCTTTTTCACAAAAAGAATAACATAAATGAGCCTGTTTCTTTTGCTCCATTCCTTTCCTCTTTTTGGGAGGCGGGGGACAGAAAGGGAAGACATTTTAGAGAAAGAGGAAGAAGAATTTTCACACACCATTTGGCTGCTTATAGGCTTCTGTGTGGAATATGGAGAAGATTTCTAAGCCCCAGGTCTTAGGGGGCACAGGAAGTAGTCCATCGGAATGAGGGGGGTACTACTCTGTAGTTTCCTTTTCATTCTACACGTGGAAGCCTACAACATCCTTGACAATTTTCCTGATTCAAAATGAAAAAGAAATGAAAAGTCAGCTGTTCTAGAAAACACGTGAAATATAGAAAATGCCCACTTCTAGTTATTTGAAAATAATTTGCCATATTTTGGCATCTAAGTACAAAATACATATCCAAGGTTGTCCCATTCGTAAATCACTGCAATTGTGGTTTGAAAATCCCACCCCACCCCCTAAACACATTTACAAAGAACAACCTGGTTGCCCATGATTGGAATACTGTTGAAGTTGTTAAATAAGCAGCTTAAGGGCTCTTGCTCTTGGGGGTGCTAGTGGTCAAATAAACCTGCATACACTTTCATTTCACATCAAGATACAGAAGATATTAGAAACTCTATGGACCTTGGTGCTAGACATGGCCATTAAAACTTGAGTGAAATGAGCCCAAATACACACACACCTTTCCTCTACTGCTCATATTTTAATCACACCTTTTCTACAGATCTTTTTCATATAACTAATGAGTAGGAGGCTTATAAGTTCCCCCTGAAAATTATCTCAGGTGGGAGCTTTTCAGATAAAGACAAAAAAGTGTGATCACATGGCTTAGTCTCTATATGAGACAGGAATGCATCATTCATCATCTCAGATTAGTAACACTCACTGTGTCTAAACTCCCCTATCTGAGGGTATTATGTGCTGAAATTCTGCTTCCAGAAATCACAGCTGGACCGTCAAGATTTTTTTTTTTCTTGCCTGACTTGCAGACTTATCCCAGATGGACCTAAACTTAGGTTTATGAACTTTTTAAATATAAAAAGGTCTTGAAAGACACATCTAGTTTAGACTTCAACTTCCAGTTTTAAGTGAATCATATCATTCATTCTGGGAACTTGATCTGGGGAGAGAATAGCCATGTCTCCCCACCCTCTGCACATGGTTAATCCTACTGTACGTGGGGAAGGAACACTGACTTATGGGCAGAGGTTAGACAGTGGGATTTCAATATCTAACCAGAATTCTCTTTCTCATGGGTTTATGATTTTTCAGTCTCTGCACCCCAACCAAATAGCTCATGTTTTGCACCAACAGTTGCGTTTCCCTCCTATTTGGAGTGCCACTGTTCTCTGCCTTCCAGTGTTACATCCTCTTGTAACACTCTTGATAACCCTAGTGAGAACTAGTCTTAGATTTTTCAGAGAATATAGAAAAGATCTAAGGCAACATCACCTTTTTTTCAGATTTAAGGACTGTACTAAACTTGACATTTTATAAAGCTATTACACTACTTCCAACATTTTCAGATATATACCTCCTTCATAATTAGGAAAAACAAGCTGAATATGATTCTGTAACACCACAAAATCAACCATTACTGCTACTTGTTCCTAATGATGACATTAGCAATGCTTAGCAAAACCCAGGTAACTTTTTATGGTCCCATCACTCTGCCCATCGAAGGATGTATTATTAAGCAAACACCGATGCTTGAATTAGCAGCTGCTTGTCCGTGCCACTGTGCTGCCCCAAAAGGAGAGGGTCAGTGCCAGGATCATGGATGATGTCTGTGCTGAAGAGTTGGCTTCATTCACGAAGTCTGCTTTTTAAACAACCTGTCTCTCCAGGTTTTATTGCCCTCAAAGAGATCTGCCCACTAGAAAAGAAACCTTTAAGGAAACCCACCTCAAAGACTATCCCTTAAAACTAGGATAGATTATCTCCCTGGTACGGCAGTTATATCCAGTTATTCAAATAGTGACTAAGAAAGCTCCACTGATCCTAACCAAAGGCACATTTGGTACACAATAAAAAATGGCTTAGGCTACAATGTGGATTTTCTTTTAAAAATAATCCTGTAACATTTTCTGGATCTTACCAAAGATAAAAATCAGAAAAACCTAAAACAAGCAAAGCTTTTCTTTCAAAGCAGTGGTTTCCAACTTGGTCACCACTAGAAAGGGAATGGAAAGCAAGGCAAATCAAATGTTGCAAGTTCTAAGTCCTGAAGTTAGCACTTATGAGTGGCAAAGCTTGTGATGTCATGGGAAGCAGTGGCCAGGGAGGGATGTAGCTGGAGCCAAGGCAGATGGAAGAATGCTTTGGTGACAAAATTCAAGGACTTCCCAGGGTGGAAGTAGCAAGTGTGAAAAATAAACTCCAACAAAATGTAGGACCTATATGGAAAGACCAAGAAGCAAGGACTGCTGTGAATTAGCACCTGGGAACATAGTCATCCTAAGCAAGAAACTGAGGCTAAGCCTGAAACAAATTTCTACAGGGAGGAAAAGAAAACAACTCTTGGATATTTGATTATGTCCAAAAAGAAGAACAATGAGCCACCCTTCTTAAAAGGGGAAATACACCTAATTACTTATAAACCACATTAGGAAACTAGACAATAAGTCGATAACTTCATTTGGGAGCTTATTAGAGTCCTAGAATTTCTGGTCAAGGTAGCTTGTGAAAGGTCAGCTCTTCTTTAAACATGGTTATGGTTCAGCAGTGATTCGCAGGTCCTGGTCAAGGCACTGTGCTGGAGAAGAGCAAAGAGCTTTCTTTTTGTGCTTTTTGTTTTGTTTTTGTTTTTTGTGGGGTTTTTTGAGGTGGAAATACTTCTTGGGACATTGAAGGCTATTTTAAGACTTTCTGCTGCTCATACTAGCAGTCCCATGCGAGTGACTTTGGCTGACAAGAACGTGTGCAACACAAATACAATTGGCTTCGGACAAGAGTGCAGGTCCATGGTCTGTGGAGAAAAAATGTTAATTATCACTATCAAATACTGATGCTTGAACAAACTAATGTACACAATAAACTTGAATGTGATATTCTTTTAAAAAAGAACCTGGATAAAGAAAATGCTAGGGCTATACAAACTCTTGAGAACTTAAACTCACAAATGAGAGTATAGTCATAAGTAAAGTTATTCCACATTGTAACTAAACACCAGTGAGAGGTTTCACATCCACACTTAGGATGTGGACAGGGTTCTACCATGCCTGGTAGGAAGAACTAAAAAGAGGGCCTCCCTGGTGGTGCAAGGGGTGAAGTCTCAGTACTATGAAGATAGAGACATGGGCACTGCAGCATGAGTTTGATCCCCGGCCAGGGAGTACCCAAATGGTGCAGCAGACCTCTCCTGAGTTGCCCGCTGCTACCCTCAGCAGTGTATTTCAGTCAATCTGCCCATTCTGCTCCCCACTCTGTCTCTGGTGAGTCCTCCTACCCCCCGCACAAACTTCTGGCCTGTACCCCAGTTCTCGTATGCATAAATAAATAAATCTTTAAAAAACAAAGAACTAAAAAGAGAGAATGTAAGAATGAAAAATCTCTGTGGAGATCATTAATTGCATATTTTCCAGGGTGGAGGAACTACAGTGAACTCAGCAGCAGCATGACCACCTGTGGGTATGATTTTTGACACTCCTGGTAAGTTTGTGGTGGGAATCACAACTCTTGAGGCAGTTAGGAAATCACAACTGTAGTTATATCTTCCCAAGAACAGGCCTCTAACATGGACAACTGGTGCCAGATGAACAAGGAGACTTGGGGTCGGGCTGCCTGAGTCAAGTAGTTAGTCATTCATTGGCACTGATAACAGAGATCAGGAATAGGACACAGCTTAATGAACCATAACTTTTAAAGAAAATTACAACTGTATCAAAAAGCACTAATTTCATCACTAAATTTTATATGCATTAAATATAAAGCAGGTATTAAAAACAAATATCTAGGAATACCCTAACACCTGGCTTGCTAAATGGAAACTGCTATTAATAACTGGTTAATTTCAGAGAAAGAAGCATTTAACTCTCTACTCATGCTTCACGGTTGTTCTGTAGCCTATCTATAGTCTCCTAAAGGTTCATCATTGAAAATTAGATTTCTAGTCATGGTTTCTTCTTTTTTTTTTTTTTCAATAGAGGCATGTTGTATTTATTTATTTGTTTGTTTGTTTTGTTTATACAAGCACTGGGTACAGTCAGAAGTGCGGGAGGGTGAGGGAATTCACCAGAGCCAGAGTGGGGAGCAGAGCAGACAGAAGGACCGAAGCACACTGCTGAGGGGAGCAGCGGGTGGCAGGGGAGGTCTGCGCGCCATGTGGGACCCTCCTCTGGTGGCCGGGGAGCAGCCGGGGATTGATCTGGTGCCGCAGAGGCCGCAGGCAGCTTCACAACCCAGCGCTCAACCGCTGCGCCACAGGGGAGGCCCACTAGTCATGGTTTCTTATTTGGAATTTGAACTACATTATCTTTAAGATCTCTTTCAATTCTGAAATTTCAAGATCCTATTTTTCAAATTTATACCCATTGTTGACTATGTTAACAGACATAAGATTATTATCATATAAGATAAGACTAGAGCTACTGGCTCAATGAAAGGGCACTGCTTTACTCCTTCATCACACCTGCAATTTCTGAAGTATACTAGTTCTCTAAGGAGAAATTATGAATTCCTTCTCATATTTCCTTTAAAGGACAAGAAGGTCAAAAAGTCACAGGTTTTTGTGCCCATGTCTCTATCTTTATTTCTGCTAGAAATATCAGAATTTCTATAGCAAACAAATCATGCTATTACTTTCTTTTTAATTTTACTTTAATATTACTTTCTTTTTATTTATTTATGCATATAAAAGCTGGGGTACAGGCCAGAGATGAGGTGGGGTAAGAAGATGCACCAGAGACAGAAAGGGGAACAGAACTGGCAGACTGACTGAAACACACTGCTGAGGGGAGCAGTGGGCAAGACAGGAGAGGTCTGCTGTGCCATCTGGGTTTCTCTCTGGCAGGCCGGGGATCAAAATCGTGCTGGAGAGGCGGCGGATTGCTTCATTGTGCGGTGCTTAACCCCTTGCGCCACCAGGGAGGCCCTACTTTTGATTCTTATCTCAACAAAATGCCGCTAACAGCCATGAATAGAATTTATTTAATAAAGTTTGTCAGCTTTAGTACTTTATAGGTTTTTATGATAGTCTATTTCTTAAAAAGGACTTTTTTTTTAACATTCAAATAAAACTTTAAAAAATGGGAATTATTTCCTAATGTGAGGGGAAAAAAAAAACAACAAAACACCAAAAACCCAAACTCTAAAAAACTGCATCCTAAAAACTGAAGAGCGATTTCCTGGCTCCAAATGAAGTTTCAGTTCCTGAGTTTCTATAGAAGAGGTAGGAAACGAAGACAAAGAAAGAAAATACCTACTAGAATAAACACATTTTCCAGAAACTTACCAGTTCTCCCTCAGGCCCACCAAAATCCAGATACAGATTTCTGATGCCGTCATCAGCAGACATTTTCAGCCTTTCAAAGGGATAGCGATACAACATGCTGCCAGAACCTCCATTTTCCCTGGAGATACTGAACCCATTTTCATAGTGGACAGTGAGTCTTACTTCCTGCCCATTTAATGTGCAGCCTGTTGAAGACAAGCAAAAATAATCATTAATAAAGTTCCCTCGTCAGGGCCTTCCTGCTGGCGTAACGGGTTACGATGCATCACTGTGAAGCTATCTGCAGTCACTGCAGCACGAGTTTGATCCCTGGCCAGGGAGCCGACCCACATAGCTCAGCAGACCTCTCCTGCCTCGCCCACTGCTCTCTTCAGCAGTGTATTTCAGTAGATCTGCCTGTTCTGCTCACCACTCAGTCTCTGGTGAACCCTCTCACCCCCCCAAACCTCTGGCCTGTATCCCAGTTCTTATATGCATGAATAAATAAATCTTTAAAAAAAAATAAAGTTCCTACTTCAGTTATCAAGTGGAACAGGATTCTTGATTTCCAAGAAGGAAACAATCTTTTCTTAAGAATGTGTGACCCCAAACCTATTTGAAAATTTTCCAAAATGTCTTTTGTAGTGATCACTCAAATCATAATCTTGATTGAGATGAGGAAGAAATTACCATGACTCTCCTTGACCTCTGGTTCAAGGAGTGTATCAACTGAACTTGTGCTGCTAGGCGGCTGGCTGCACATGGCACTGAATAGGCATGCACACTGCTCGCAAGGATCTCATAACTGAATAGCATAAACATGAAATCCTAACTGTATAAGGCCAAAGTTAAGGAAAGGGACTTCAGATAGACCCTAAAGAATAAATCAAATGGGGTAGGAAGGAGCAATCAAAGGAGAAAAGGAGATGTCTTTCAGGGGCAGTAACAGGGTTTGTAGACATATGGGAAGAGGATGAAAATGATGCTTATCAAAGATGAACACTCCCAACACCTCTGGTCTAATACCCCAGTTCTTGTATGCATAAATAAAAATAAATCTTTTTTTTTAAAATATATATCTGGTACAGCTTTAAATATGGAGTAAGTGGTATTAAGTACATCAGTTGATGTGAATTGTGAAAGTGAAAGCATTACAAGGTCACATTAAGATTCAACTGTGAGGGCCTCCCTGGTGGCACAGGGGGTTAAGATGCAATCTATGAAGCATCTGTAGCCACTGCAGCACCAGTTCGAAGACCGACCTGGGAGCTATCCACATGGTGCAGCAGACCTCTCCTGACTTGCCCCTTGCTCCCCTCAGCAGCGTATTTCAGTCAGTCCTCCTGTTCTCTTCCCTACTCTGTCTCTGGTGAATCTTCTCACCCCCATACCTCTGGCCTGTACCCCAGTTCTTGTATGCATAAGTAAATAAATCTTTAAAAAAAAAAAAAGATTCAGGGCCTCCCCAATGGTGCAGTGGGTTGAGCACAGTGCTATGAAGCTGTCCGCAGTCTCTGCAGCACCGGTTCAATTCCCAGCTGGCCAGGAAGATTCCCACATGGCACGGTAGACCTCTCCTGTCTTGCCCGCTGCTCCCCTCAGCAGTGTCTTTGGTCCGTCTGCCTGTTCTGTTCCCCGCTCAGTCTCCGGTGAATTCTCTCCCCTCCTGCGCCTCTGGCCTGTACCCCAGCTCTTGTGTAAATAAAATAAATCTTTTAAAAAAAAGTTATTAAAAAAAAAAGATTCAACTGTGAACAAAAACAAAAAAGTTGAAAATTACCAAAAAGTACGTATTGTTTATCTATTTAAAAGTATAAGGAACCAGCTGTTTTCTCTCCTTCTTAAACAACTCTGTGCCAGGACCTGCAGTTTTGGTTCCCTGAAAGAGGAAGCTTTAGCTGCTAGACACCAAGGCAGCAACATGAAACTAAAAAATGTTAAAAATCTAAGCTGCAGTCCTGTTTTGGGAAGCATATCTCTCTGAATCCTCCAAGAACATAGGGTGACCCCAGATGCTAGTTAAAGGGCAGATGAGGACTTGCCCATCACAAAAAGCACATGATGGCGCTGGAACTAGGGCCAGGTGACCAACCACTCCACAGAAAAATGAGGGAAGGGACAGACAAATGAAGAAGACTGTGGAAGTGGCAGCATTAGTTGAAATCCAAGGTAGGGTCTTACTAATTATTGGTGTCATTGCTTGAATTATCACTGTAGCTATGAGGAAAATATTAGACAGATTCCAAAGAGTTGAGGAATTGTGTCATTTTGACAAAAAATTATATTGAATCATTTCCTGTTTTCACATAAATTCTGTAAAACCAGGTTTATAAATACATAAACAAATGCAAAATGAAGTAAACCAACTGGAAACCAAAATATTTAAACCACGTTAGAAACTGTAATTGTGTCTTCATTTTTAATATTTCTCTATTCTTGTTACAATAAACAATCTGGGGCCTCCCCGGTGGCGCAGCGGTTGAGCGCTGCGAAGCTGTCTGTAGCCTCTGCAGCGCCGGTTCAATCCCCGGCCACCGGGCAAGGGTCCCACATGGCACGCAGACCTCTCCTGCCGCCCGCTGCCCCCCTCAGCAGTGTACTTTATCAGTCTGCCTGTTCTGTTTCCTGGCTCTGTTCTGTTCCCCTGTTCTGTTCTCTGGCTCTGGTGAATTCTCTCACCCTCCCGCGCTTCTGACTGTACCCAGTGCTTGTATAAACAAACAAACAAACAAACAAATAAATAAATCTTTAAAAATAAGTAAATAATCTGGATCTGTACATTTGCATGTATGTACGTGTATGCTTGTACACAAACACAGATACACGTGTTGCCATACCGCCACAAGAGGGCGCTTCAAGGATGGAAAGAAAACAGGTTTATTTCCTTTAGATGCTTATTTCACTAATGGGGCACATTTTCAAACTTTTGAAGAGAAACACCTGCTACAAATCCTTTGCTTTTCTATCTTCATAAGCTCTGTTGGATGCTCATATTTTAAGGGTGTCTTTCCATACCTTAGAATTCAAATCTTCTTAACTAGATGGTCAATGTATCTAGTAGTTACTGTATGAGTCCTTACACTATCAAATACAGGATAAAATGGTGAACAGTAAAACTGCCATGTTGTACATGAGGTGTTATAAATATGTTTAAAACCATGGACAAGGACAAGAAAAACTTTTCTAGTGAAACAGAGAAACCAGATTTCTTTTCATCATGATCACTTTAAGCTGCATATTTCAGAATATTTCTTAAGTCTGGCATACAAGATAATGGTTTTTGCTTTAAAATAAAGTTCCATTTAACTATTAGAAATGAAATGCCAGGATCTCTACCTAGAGAGACTTCCTTGATCAGCTCAGCAGCAGCATGGCAACCCTGCACAAGTATCCTGGTCCAGGTCGACAGATCTCGATGAGTCTCTACCCTGAAAAGATGCATCTCAATGCCCTGCCGAGAGCCTGTCCGGGTAGCAAACGTGAGGTCAGATCCAAGGGAGGGTGAGCGACATCCAGAACCAGAATGAACCAACCTAGGACCACAAACAAAGCAAGGATCAAAAGTAATTAATGTCACCCGAGACAATATCAGAAATTTATGGTGATTGATAAGCAGAAAATTATAAAAAGCAATTAGTGGTTTTCAGATAAGTCCACTGAAAGCAAGTCTATCGTTTTTAAATAGATATCATTTTTACCCCTATAAAAGGACCCATGGTGTCATAGGCAGAATACTGGACTGGATGGTCAAGGTCCTAATTTTTCATGGGCTCCTTAAATGCTCCAAGGGGCTATGAATATAAAAAAAAAATTTTGATGATAAATCCCACACAACAAAACCTCCCCCATTATCAACATCACTCACCATAATAGTATCTTCTTTTAAATCAAAGAGGAATCTACACTGACACATCATAACCACCCAAAGTATCAATACAGTTTACTTTATGGTTCACACTTGGTGTCATACAGTCTATAACTTTAAACAAATATAAAATAATGATATATATGCAGATCATTATAAGAGCATACAGAGTTTTCCCTGCCCTAAAAATCCTCTGTTGCATGGCCTACCCATCTCCCCCTTCCCTGGATGATCTTTTCATTGTCTGTAGAATTTTGCCTTTTCCAGTATGTCACATAGTTGGAATCATAGTAGAAAGCCTTTTCAGGGGTGGCTTCATTCAGATCAGTCACATGTCACTTAAGGATGTTTCTGTCAAAAACATACATGATGGTGGTTCCATAGGCTATGATGCAGCCACTACGAGTAGTGGGTTCTATCACTTAGGCTTGTGTAATTACCCTCTAATATTTGCACAGTGATGAAACTGCCAAATGATGCATTTCTTTTGGATCCCTGTCATTAAATGACAAATGACTATATGCATTTGTTCCTCCTTGTCTTTTCACAGCTTGATAGCTTTTTTATCAGCACAGAATTAATAATATTCCATTGTCCGGAGGTACCACTGATTATTTACACATTCATCTAATAAGGAACATCTTGGTTGCTTTCACATTTTGGCAATTAAGAATAAAGAGGCTTCTATAAACATCCTTGTGCAGGTTTTACATGGACTTAAGTTTCAACTCTTTTGGGTAAACCATGTGTAGTGGTAACTTGTTGTTTTATCAATAATTTGCACTTCCCTGATGACATATGATGTGGAACTTATTTTCATATGCTTCTTTACTATCTGTATATCTTTCTTTGGTAAGGCATCTGCTAAGGTCCTTGGTCCATCTTTTAATGAGTTGCTTCTTTACTTATCACTGAGTTTTAAGGGTTTTTCATATATTTTGATTAAAATTCCTTATCAGATGTCTTTTGCAAATATTTTCTCCCACTCCATGGCTTGTCTTCTAGTTCTCTTGATTTTTTTAAGAGCAGAAGTTTTTAATTTTAATGAAGTTCAGCTTAACTTTCAATTCATTCATGGATCCTGTTTTTGGTGTTGTATCTAATAAGGCATCACCATACCCAAGGCTATCTATATTTTCTTATATTCATCTTCTAGGAGTTTTATTAGCTTTACAATTTACATTTAGGACTATGATCCATTTTGAGTTAATTTTTGTGAGGGGTGTAATGTCCACTAAAAACCTATTAGACTAATAACAAGTTGAGCTAAGTTGTAGAATACAAAATCAAGATGCAAAAATCAATCTATTAACTGTGTATAGTAGCAATGAACAACCCAAAAAGGAGTTCAAACAATTCAGTTATAATAGCATCAAAGTGAAAAAATACTTGGAATAAGGTCAAAGAAAATATAAAATGTATACTCTAAGAACTACCGCTAAGGAAGGCGTAAATAAATGACATTGTATCATGGACAGAAAGACATAAAAATTTAAAGATCGTAATACAATCTCAATTAATCAACAGATTCAATGCAATCCCTATCAAAATTTTAGCTATCCTTTTTTGTAGTAATCCATGTAGAAATTAAATATAAAATCCATATAGAAATGCAAAGAATTTGTCATGGTAGCACTTTCTACAATTGCCAACTCATGGAACCAATTTAAGTGCCTAGTGATTGGTGACAGGATAAAGAAATTGTGGAATATATTATCATAGAATACTACTCCTTTACTTAAAAAAGACAGAATAGCACCTTTTGGGACAAAATGGATGGACCTCCAGTTCATTATACAAGTGAAATGTCAGAAAGTAAAAATGGATATTGGATGGTTTCACTTACCTATAGAATATAAACCAAAAACATAACTTGCAAAGCACAATAGAAACAATCCTTAGACCTAGTAAAATACATACTGGTCAACAGAGGGAAGAGCAGGGAGGGAGGGGGGCATGGGGAAGGAAGAGGATAGAGCATTGGCACAGCAGGTTAGGTGGAGAGTAAGTAAAACACATGCATGTATGGGGGAGTAAAAATGTAACTTCAAAGATATATGGACATGTAAACAACGATAAATTAATTCAAAAGAGAAGAAGCAGAAATATATGGAACTCGGACCAATCTTGAAAATGAACAAAGTTTTAAGATTCACATTTTATTTCAAAATTTACCACAAACTTTTAAAATGAGAATTCAGAACAAACACTCACACTTAACAATTTTTGACAAGGCTATCAAGAGAATTCAGTGGGGGAAAGAAGAGTCTTTTCAATGAATGGTACTGTGATAATCAGATATACACATGCAAAGGAGTAAAGTTTGACCACTATTGCATATCAGATAAAAAATGTAAGAGCTAAAACTATAAACCTTTAGAAGAAGACAAAGAAGTAGATCTTTGGAACCTTTAGGACGAGGCAGAGCCATCTCAGAAATAACACAAAAAATGTAGATCTTACAGAGAAGACTAATAAACTTGATTTCATCAAAATTAGAAACTGAGCTTCAAGTGACACTGTCAAGAAAGTGGACAGATAAACATCAGATGGAAAAAACATTCACAAATCATATATTTGACAAAGTGTTTGTCTATAGAACAAATTTTACAACTCAATTATAAGGAATCAACCCAATTACAGGACAAAGGATTTGAACAGACATCTCTCCAAGTTAGATAGACAAGTGGCCAATAAGCACCTGAAAGATGTTTTAAGGAAATACAACTCAGAACCACGAGGATGTGGAGGAAATGGAACCCAGATACCTGCTAATAAGAATTTAATGATATAGCTACTGTAAAAAAATCCTGGTGTTTCCTCAAAAAGGTTTATATAGAGAGTTTCACATGATCCAGCAATTCCATTCCTAGGTATATGTCACCCTAAATGTATTTATACAAAAGCTTGAACATGACTGTTACAACATTTGTTCATAATAATCAAAAAGTGGAAATAACCCTAATGGTCATCAATTGTGGTATATCCATATGATGGAATAATAATATTCACCATAAAAAGACATAACATTATGATACAAGCTATAACACGGTGAACCTTGAATACACTACGCTAAGTGAAAGAAGCCAGACAGAAAAGGTTACATATTCTACACTTCCATTTACATGAAATGTCCAGAATAGGCAGGTATATAAAGACAAAAAGGAATCCCTGATTGCTTAGAACTGGGTGAGGAGAAAGTAAGGATTGACTGATAATAGTTCAGGAGTTTCCTAATGGCTAGGAGTGATGAGTGTCCTAACATTTATTGTGGTAATTGTTATACGATTCTGTGAACATACAACAAATGATTAAATTTTAAATTTTATACTTTAAATGGGTGAACTTTATGAGTTATATTGCAATTAACCTGCTAAAAAGCAAGAGTGAAAAACACAAGAAAAGCAGTTTTTGTTAAAATCATTAAACTAACATTTTGTTTCATGACAGCCATCAATGTGGTTTAATTCATGTCGTCCAAAAATATTTTCCCTATATTTAAGAAGTTCTAGGTAGATTATAACAGAACATATCCCTCACTTGAATCACTTAGGGGGCCTCCCTAGGAGCACAAAGGGTTAAGCACAGCACTGTGAAGCTATCCGTAGCTTCTGCAGCACGAGTTCTATCCCTGGATGGTCAGGGAGCTATCCACATGGTGCAACAGACCTCTCTTGTCTCGCCTCCTGCTCCCCTCAGCAGTGTATTTCAGTCAGTCTGCCTGTTCTGTTCCCCACTCTGTCTCTGATGGATCCTCTCACCCCCTAAACCTCTGGCTTGTACCCCAGTTCTTGTATGCATCAATAAATAAATCTTTTAAAAAAAAAAGAATCACTTAGATGTTTCCATATAGGAAATTTTAAAACGTGGGTGAGGAATGTACACCAAAGAGAAATAAAATGACTTGTTCCTTTTTTATATATATATTTTTTACATCATTCTTCATTTTTTTTAAACATTTATTTATTAATTTATACAAGCACTGGGTACAGTCAGAAGCGCGGGAGGGTGAGAGAATTCACCAGAGCCAGAGCAGGGAGCAGAGCAGGCAGAAGGACCGAAGGACACTGCTGAGGGGAGCAGTGGGCGGCAGGAGAGGTCTGCGTGCCATGTGGGACCCTCCTCTGGTGGCCGGGGAGCAGCCGGGGATCGAACTGTCGTTGCAGAGGCTGCGGGCAGCTTCGCAACCCAGCACTCAACTGCTGCGCCACCGGGGAGGCCCTCATTCTTCATTTTTGTACAATGTGTGGGAAAAAAAAAATTAAATAATAAAAAAAAAAGGGCAAAGTGCAGTGTCTGATCCAGGTTGCCTGGGCTCATACACTTACACATTGAGTGACCTTTCCACAAATTATGTCTCTCAGTCTCCATTTCTTCATACGTATAAGAAGTTAATAACAATGTCTAACACATAAATTAGTTCTGATTAGAAAATGAGTTTACCCAGGCAATGTACGTATGACATACCAAGAACTCAATAAACACTGGTAATTCTTAAATTATTTACTGTTGCCTTTATAATTTTATAATTGCTGACTGAGATGATCACAACTGGACCAACATAAACTAAATACCATTGTCACAAGTGAAATAAATGGCACTTCAAAAAAAAAGAAAAAAGAAAAAAGAGAAAGCACACTGTAAAAAAAAATGAACAATGATGCAAAA